TGAGAAAGGTGTAAAAACGAATGCAGTTGTGTAACAAAATACAGTCCCGATGAACCTTGTGGAACTTGTTTCTCATACCATGTTCAATAACAGGCACTGGGTATTCCAACAAGATTTGGCGCCAGCTCATAGAGCGAAGAGCACACAAGACAGAAATCGAGCGTGAAATTGACTTCATCCGGCACGAAGACTGGCCCTTCTCCAGTCCAGATTTGAGTCCGTTAGATTACAAGATACGGCAACACTTGGAGGAAAAGGCGTGCTCAAAGCCTCATCCCAATCTGGAGTCACTCAAGACATCCTTTATTAAGACATAGACCTCGTTCGTGCTGCGATAGACGACTGGCCGCGCAGATTGAAGGCCTGTATTCAAAATCACGAAGGTCATTTTGAATAAACTTTAGTGTCATAAGAATCTATGTTTTGTTTAGTTTATTTTGGTATATAAATGGTTACATAATGAATAAACTTGTTTCAATTATTTTATCAGTGAGATCTATCATGAATACAGTCGTCAATTGAATGATTGTACGGTAATTTGCGGTGACTGATTAACAGTTTTACCGCTTTGTTAGCAATACTCAACATCAATTAAGGTGTAAGACCTCCACTTTGACCTCTAATTAACCCAGAATCTGCTGATGTCTAGATGACTTGGATCATGTGTCTCCCCTTCTGTGCCTAGATTTGCATAAATATTCTGGGCTTTACTTTTGACAGCTTGTTGGAATGAGAGCAAAATAATAATAAATTTGAGTATCTTTCTTTGATCCTATTTCCATAGGATTTTATGTATACATATATGTTACGTGTTTATATATATACTAGCGGCCCGCCCACGATTCGCTTCGGTGTAGAGCTGAAGTGTAGACTACAGTTTTTGTTCTCAGGCTTGTATTATAAACAATTACATTCATCTATGATTCTTCTTATACCTGCATGCAAAGTCACAGCCCGATCGGTTTAAAATTGACAAAGTTTCATACAAACTTTCATTCCCTATTTTATCCCCTTGGGGGTAGAATTGATCAAAATCCTTTCTTAGCGGATGCCTACGTCATAACATCTACCTGCATGCCACATTTCAGCCGATCCGTCCAGTGGTTTGGGCTGTGCGTTGACAGATCACTATGTCAGTCAGTCACCTTTGAGTTTTTACTTTTTATATATATAGACTAGCTGACCCAGCGAACTTCGTACCGCCATAAAAAATAGGGGTTGGTGGTAGAAGGTTGAAAATTCAGGGTTATATGTATTTACTAATGCTGTATCATAAAAAAAATAAAAAAAAATCTAAAATTGAAAAAAAGAAATTTTGGTGTAAATTACCCTTAACATTTAGGGGGATGAAAAATAGATGTTGTTAGATTCTCAGACCTACCCAATATGTACACAAAATTTCATAAGAATCGGGAAAGCCGTTTCGGAGGAGTTTAACCACAAACACCGCGACACGAGAATTTTATATATTAGATATTGTATTGACATATTTATGATTTTTGTTATCAAAATTGTTATTGTTTTCTCGTAGTCTTTGTCTGTCATCTGCTTTAATATTATTTTGCGTAGTACTTAAAATAGTGTAAGTAAACTCATTGCGTCGAAAATCCTAGCCTTCATTTTCCATCCCACTAGATCTTCGCTTCAGGGCTAACTGTGCTTTTTCCACAATTCTGCCAATTTCGAGCGAAAAGATTAGTCACGTACAATCTTGTTTTGAGATGACAGTTATCTCACTATAGAGTAAGCACCGACTAACCGACTACAGTACGGTACGAATGCTGTGCCCAAATGGAACCTTGAACCGATTTTCATCGACCTTGTTAGCTGACACCTCATCGAGAACGGCGATCGTTTAACACTCAGTAATGTTAATAACCTAGATGAGATAATAATCACAAAATTAAAAAGGAATAAAAAATATGAACAAATTTAAGAATAATTAAAACAAAAAATATACTATAACAATGAACCTAAAACTAAAAACCTTAAAAAATAAAATATAATAACTTAAATACATTATTAAAAGGAGTCCCTTTAGGCAAGGTTCCGAAGATACTGGCAGCGTTCCCCCTTTGGATAGCTAGACTAATTCTTTGAAATAAAATTCGCTTTGAATATCAAAGGATGACCACGGGGCTTAATGCGGGTGGTGTTTTAGATTAGGTAAAGAGTCAATTGACTGCTAGCTATATTACACTTATTCAACTCTTTGGCTAAATAATGCATTTACGGAGCTTGTATAGATACATTGTTCGAAAGTTCAAAATTACGCTCCATACAATAGTACCCCTAGCAGCGAACCATTATCGAATTCGAATGGATTGTGAGTGCGAAACGACATTGTTAAATTTATACTGATTTTTAGTTCTAGTTACGTCCGTTGTGATTCTGCTGTTTAAGTTTCTATACCATATTTGACAATGACATTTTGGACTCGCAAACGATTCGAATTCGATATTAGGTCGTGCTAAGGGCACTGAGCGTGCTGTTTTTACCGCATGCTCCGGTATATGGCGCCGTACGTATACTTTACGGTGTTTTCTTAAATTTCGATCGAACCTCCTTGGAAGCGCTTTTGATATTTATCTATGCGTTTGTCTCACTTTAATACTACAAAAAATTGTGTGTGTCAGCTCCGACGCACGACCGCAGTTTACACTCTAAAAACGATTGTCTTTGAACAGACACAAAACAAAATCAAGTCCGAAGAAGTCGGTTACAAGTAGAGATACCTCAGGAATCGTCCCATGGTTTCGACTATCATAGGTTCCATGTCACACATTTTATCATCTAACAGCAGCGATATTCATCATATATTTTATTATGTATTTCTAGAAACACACAATTTCAAAAATATCACACACTAGTCTTCATTTTGTAAATATGTATTATAATTCCATCTGTACTGAAAATCACTATTCCAGAGTGCTGGACACTTACCGGCATTTCTCTATATTCTGTTATTTATTTGTTTTCATTAATTTTGCTCCGATTTTATCTATTTTTAGTTTATTTATTTTATTGACATTTGTGACAACTTCATGTTTTTTATCCGTTGCCATGGCTAAAAGTGAAAGGTGCGCAGATGAGGTTGCGCACAAAAACGTAACGAGGTCATTAATGTCATTCATCGATAGATTTTACTCCTCACATTTTTCTCATACCGGGCCCCTTATATATGCAAATCGATTCTTAAGGAGTAAACTCCAAAAAAAGAGCTGAAAGATGTAGTTCTAATTTTCCTCACTGGCACGTGGCGCCACGTGGAAACGCGAATTTTCTACTTAGAAAAAGCTTGCTTTATTACTTAAAAATTTCACTGCTCTCTCGCAAATGTATTGAAAAACGTTGTATAACATTCGTGCGGAATTATTATTTACAAATTCGTGACTATGGTAAACCCTAGCCTTCGTCTCGGGCTTACATTTGTCCACTCTCTTGTAATAACCAACTTACAGCACTAGTGTCATAAATCTATATTAATATTATAAAGCTGCAGAGTTTGTTTGTTTGTTTGAACGCGCTAATCTCAGGAACTACTGGTCCGATTTGAATGATTCTTTCAGTGTTGGGTAGTCCATTTATCGAGGAAGGCTATAGGCTATATTTTCTTTTTCAAAATTGGCGCCGCGCCGCCAGCGTGCGAGACGGGGAGGCGGAGCTTGCTGGCCCCTTGGTTGTTTGTTATGAACGCGGTAATCTCGGGAAATACTGATCTGATATGAAAACTGTTTTAATATTCAATAGGCTATAATATAGGTAATATTTTATCTGGGTATTTCCACGGAAACGAGAAAAACGCGGGTGAAACCGCGGGGCACGGCTAGTAACTACATATTACCAGCCCCTCTAGCATGACCACCGATACGGGATATGATAAAGCGATATATCGGCATTAACTGTCAGACTACTGTCAAATTCCACTGTAGTCTGACAGTTATATAGTCTTTTGATATCCAAAACGATATAATATATTTCAAAGAGGGTTTCTTTAATATCGTTGATATCATTAATAATAAAGATTACTCATACCCTGGACATCCTGGTTGAAAATAAACCTCTAATAGCTTAGCCAATTTTCGTTAATTAAATATCGCTGACGCTATCAAAACGTATGCAAACTTTTCTTTTCAATACAATTTATTATTATTTTAGTAGGAATCGTTTGTGTTTTGTTTGCGACAGATTTTGTCTTTTTATTAAAAGCAAGGCGTGCTCTAATGTTACTACTTATAAAATACATATTAAATAGATTTTCATGCCTGGTTTAATTGTCAAGTCTGTTTTTCGCATCTGTGATGCCAACAATAATAATAATATAATAATAATAACTTTATTTGGAACAAGTGCAATGTACATAAAATTATGAATCGTTAAATCTGCTTTAGTTTTACAAAAACTGTGTTGCAGAATTAACGCCCATTCCCGTATAATATGAAACAGTGTTCCTATCAATGTATAAAATTAAAACAAACTGTATTATTACTAGAGAGGAAAATTAAAATGAGACAAAAACATGCACAATTTACAATCCATCGAAAATTATTTCAAAACAAAAAGTATTTCCGAGTGCATTTTTATCAATATTATACAACAAACCATTACTAAATTTTACCAAAAAAATGAAAATAAGGACTAAAATATAACATTTTGATTTTTTTTTTGTTTATGCTCACATTTGAAGGTAGGTAAACACAGATAATACAAATCTATTAAATTTACAATATGAAACCTACCTGGACACTACAAACCAATAAATCATGATATAGAATAGTTAAATCCAATATAAGACACAATTTCGCAACATCGTACCAACATCACTGCTAAAAAGTTAATTTTAAGCATACGAACGTCATTATTTTGTTTATTAAATAGTAATTATAGTGGATTTGATTTAGCATAATAATGTATCAGAACATTGTTAATTAACCTTTAAGTAAGTATAATATTTTTTTAATGAGGTTAAAGATAATGATGACGTATTCTCTTTGTTTCAGATAGGCCAAGATGGAGTTGCGGTGGCGTGCCTTCACGTTATGGGCTCTTTGGCAAATTTGTCCAGGTAAAGAGAAGATTTATTTATCCTTATTACAAATTGAGGAGTTCGATGGCGCAAGTGGCTAGCGCGTTCGGTTGCGATCGTTGAAGTTAATCAACTTTCGCAGTGGTCGGTTATTGGATGGGTGACCAAAAATCTTCTATCTCGAGTTCCGCTGTGCTTCGTAAGGCACGTGAAGCCGTTGGTCCCGGCTGCATCTGCAGTCGTTAGCACCCGCCAATCCGCATTGGTCCCGGGTGGTGGATCATGGCCCAATCTCCCTATTCCATTCCTAGGGAAGGCCTGTGCCCCAGCAGTGGGGACATTAATAGGCTGATGATGATGATGTGCAGGTCAACAAATTCTTTGAATGAAAAGAAAGTAACTGTTTCCACTAATTAGAGCATTTAGCAAATGCCGCTCATCTTTAAACATGATTATGATTGTTGCGCTAACATGCAACGGTATTCGCTTGCGAGCAATTGCGAAATCATTGTTTGTTTTAATTAGATCGGGAAAAAGCAATTCAACTCACTTAAGTTTAATGTCACTTTTTCGATGTCAATAAAAATATACATTAAAGCCAAACAACAACAGTGGATAATACAGAACACAATATCGATGCTTAAAACCCATTCTTTTTCAATCTTATTCAGCATGGAATGGTGAACCGAATAACATTCTTAACTTAACAGTAACTAATAAACTCGAGTCTCTACTATTACAAATACAATTATTTAATTACAATCACACCGTGATGTGACATCATTAAGCGCATTCTACCGACTATACCACGGCGAGTGTTCTGAGGAGTTATTCTCCCTTGTCCCTCCATCACCTTTTCTTCAGAGGACCACGCGCGCTGGCCTACGTTGCCATCGACTTACTGTGGCCACTATTCCTACACGACCAAAGTTTGGTGACTCATTTCTTTGTCGTACTATTCGTAAGTGGAATTCTTTGCCCGCGTACGTGTTACCTCCTTCCTATAATCTGGGGTCCTATAAAAGACGCGTGAAAAAGCATTTTGCAGGCCGGCAAGGTGAGGATGGTTGGTGTAGCAGTTTATAACTGCTGTACCAGCTATCTTCGCTTTAGGACTTTATCACCACTTAACATCAGGTGGGGTAGAGTCATTTGCTTACCTGGCTATAAAAAAAAATCAAGTTTGATTCACATTAATTGTACTGTTTTTTTTTCTAAATTAACTAAAGCAACTAAACTATTATTGTTTAGTTCAATACTAGTTCAACTAGCAGTGTGGTTTAAATTAATGGATCATGTTGTTACTTTCAATTATTAATGTTAGGTTTTGTTAAATTTATTGGTACCTACTGTATTAATAGAAAATCTTCAAGAAGCGCAAAAATATGTATTTTGTAGATTCGAATTATTGGATAATAATAATGTTGGTAGTACAATAATTTAAGGTGTCACCTGAATCATAATTATTATTATAGCCTTTTTATAAATATACATGTCAATCATTCATTACAATTCCAATAATATTAGGTCAACCAATAACAAACATGTCAAAAATTGTCGATACACATTTTTCTATTTATTAAGGACCTCAGCGAGTAAAGGCCTCCTCCATTTCACTCCAATTTTTTCTACCTTTGGCCTTGGTATTCCAGTCTCTACCAACCACGTCGTTAACTTCATCTATCCATCTTTGTTTTGGTCCACCTCTATTTCTTTTGTGTCGAAGTCCTTTCCAAGTAGTCACTTTATAAGTCCTTTTATTATTATTCGTACGTGCAATGTGTCCAGCCCATCTCCTTTAAGTTTTTTACAGTGATCCAAAGCATCAATAACATCAATAAGCAATGAACCACAATACTGTTAGTCAAATGAGTATTGTACCAATGTTTTTTTGTCCTGAATAAAATAAAAATAATAAATAAAGCAGTTATCTGTATCCCAAATGTTATTTTCCTTAGAACGCATTTTCTAAATCATCTTCATTAATATAAGATACGCTTATGAGATAGTAATTTAGTAATTCTGTCACAATAAACATATATTTAGTTCCCATATTTATAAGTATTTGACATGTATGTATATTCAGGTGTACAGGCTGACTGCCTTTTCTTAAATTCTTTCCTACCATGGGCCTAATGGCAGAAATATCAGATTGCAATAAGTTGTGCCCTTGTACATATATATTTAATTCAGTTGCTCCTGTCTGTCTACCTATGTGTACAGAATATATAAATAAACTAGAGGCCCGCCCTCGCTTCGCTTCGGTGTAGAGCTTGTAGTGTAGACTATAGCTTTTGTTCTCAGACTTGTATTATACACAACTAGTGGCCCGCCCTCACTTCGCTTCGGTATTTTATCCCCTTGGGGGTAGAATTGATCAAAATCCTTTCTTAGTGGATGCCTACGTCATAACATCTACCTGCATGCCAAATTTCAGCCCGATCCGTCCAGTGGTTTGGGCTGTGCGTTGATAGTTCACTATCTCAGTCAGTCACCTTTGAGTTTTATATCTAATATATAAAATTCTCGTGTCGCGGTGTTTGTGGTTTAACTCCTCCGAAACGGCTTGACCGATTTTCGTGAAATTTAATATGCATATTCAGTAGGTCTGAGAATCGGATGTAATCTATTTTTCATCCCCCTAAATGTTAAGGGTAATCCACCCCTAATTTTTTTTTTAATTTTAGATATATTTTTTTTATTATACATCATACAAAAATACATACAACCCTAAATTTTCACCCTTCTACCACCAACCCCTATTTTTTTATGGCGGTACGAAGTTCGCTGGGTCAGCTAGTATATAGATAAATATGTTGTTAATACAATGAATTAATTCAATTTTCAGTTCTTGGCAACATGCTGCCAGTGTTCACCCAAGATATGAACAACCTGGCGCTATCGGAGAGTACGCCTGTCGGGTCTATAGTTTATACGCTGCAAGGGACAGACCCTGAGGGATTACCGGTAAGATTTCACCTCAAGTTAATCGAATGCCTTAGAAAAAGCCGAAGGCAAAGTTTGGACAAACAAAATTGACCAAATAAAATAACGTTACATAACATTAAATAAAACTAGTTTTAACGGGTTAATGCATGATTTTCAAAATCATGATGACGAATCAGCTTGAAAAGGCTGCGAAAATAAATAAATTAAGTTTCATGCATTAACCTGTTAAAACTAGTTTTATTTAATGAGTGATGTGTATTAAAAATCAAACAACTCTCAAGGGTTCTTACTTTTATTTTCTTTTACTACAACTGTACAATTCACATTACAAAATACTTTATCCCTTATCTTTTTGCTTTTTCAACTATTACGCACTTTTCTCAAGCAGTCATCTCAGATTATATCGTCCACAGATTAGCCCGTCCACAGATGTTCGAATATTGTCTACGATACTCAGATTTCGTTTCGTTTTAACTGTGTCTTCGTATTTGAAATACTGTTCTATGTTCATAAATAAAAATAAATGTTGTAATTGCTAACATGTGCGTGAAAACCTAAGAAATAAATAACGTTACATAACATGTCAGGTTGATTCCTGTCTTGTGTGGCCAAACTTAGCCATCATTCAAGGGCGGATCCAGCTTTGGCGCCAGGGGGTATATTGTCGTGGTCAAGTCACAGTGGGTACAGATTGTGTAGTACAGATTGTAAAATGGGTACAGATGGACCCCCCCTGGGCTGGTCATGACCCCCGCTCCCCGCCCCCTCTGGATCCGCCCTTGCCATCATTTGCCTATAAATGACTCATTTGCCGCGGCCCAAGTGTTCACTCCAGGAGGCCTACCGCTTAACGGGATGGCTATGGCTATAGCTATAGCTAATGATTTCATTTGTTTATTCCTGACCGCCGAAGGTTTACAAACGCCTCGCGCTCATTTTCTTTAATTAACTCCTAATTGCCATTCCGAGAATGAAGGATTTAGAAATAATAAAATTTTTATTTTCCATCCTAAAATCGGCTAGTACTAAACTACTTCATCATCATCAGCCTATTAATGTCCCCACTGCTGGGGCACAGGCCTTCTCTATGGATGGAATAGGGAGATTGGGCCATGAACCACCACGCGGGTCCAGTGTGGATTATTGGGTGATAACGACTGCAGATACAGCCGGGACCAACGGCTTAACGTGCCTTCCGAAGCACGGAGGAACTCGAGATAGAAGATTTTTGGTCACCCATCCAATGACCGACCACTGCGAAAGTTGCTTAACTCAACGATCGCCGCCGAACGCGCGAAACCACGCTATCGAGCTCCTCACTAAAGTACTTACTTAGGTACTACTTGACCTTAATACCGAATGTGCTAATCATTGTACTATAGATTTATTGCATACTTCACAATAGGCATGATGACGGTGTAAAGTAAACGAAATTCTATTTATTTCGTCAGTAAGATGATCAAAAAATAATGGACACGTATTTTTTCTTTGGGAAATCAACCAAAAAATGACAAAGATAAAGTACGTCAAAGTTTGGGAGTAGGGGCTAGTGACGTCATTTTTAAGTGAAAATTGTACCAAAACGTGACGTCATGCTACTTTTCAAATCAATATATCACTGCAATGTTTATATTATGTGAAAAAAGAAAAAATACGTGTCCAATACTTTTTGATATTCTACCTGATAAACAAAGAAAAAAAAATAGAATTACTTATAATGATATATCATAATATAGGGATGCTATTGCATTATTGTCTTCAGTATTAAAAGGTGATTTTATTGTTTCAGATAAAATATAATTTAGTAGGAACAGATAAATTCTCCGTGGATCCAGACACTGGAGATGTAACACTGAACCGACCTTTAGATAGAGAGGTAAGCATTCATCTGTATGATCATTGTCTAACATAACTCATAACCGTTATTTTTTTATATTTTAAGCATTTAACTGCTAGATGCTTAAATGTAAAGAAAAATGTTCTAGCAAAAATTCCATGCGAAAAGATGGCGCTGCCTTGCAACCTAATAAAGGCTAGAGCAAATTCGACACTGCCGTCAGGGCAGCGGTAGCATAATGGTCAGTTTATTCGCCCGGACAGCGAAGAGTGCGGGTTCGTGTCCTGTCTGCTGCCTGGTCCGTGTGGAATTTTTCTAGTAAAATTTTCTTTAGATTACTGATATCTTTATAATAGTCTGGTATAAAGTTTTAAATGTTCTTTCAGAGTGAAGACACAATAAAGTTCCTAGTTTCAATAGAAGACCAAAATCCTGATCCTTCGCAAAATTTGGCTCAACTTCAACCGGTCACTGTTATTGTTCTGGATGAAAACGACAATCCGCCTTCTTTTAAAAATGTAGGTATAACTGTATTGTTATTTTAAGCAAACTACAAAAGTGTTTATGTAAATGTAAGTATTAATTCAGACAGTAACATAAAAGAAGATAGCAGTTGAATAAAGGTACATTTGATTTTTGTTTCCGAAGAATATAGAGTCAAGAGCACTATTAGTACTTTGTGGATAGGCAAGAAAGCAGCCTGCACCGCTTCAATTTTGTTACAAACTGAGACTTTTTACTAAATGTTTGATTCTATTTTTCTTATTTGCCATATTATGATAATGTGACGCGACAGGACATATAAATTTTGTAAAACACAGTTATTTCTTGGCATAATATTGACACGTTTCCCAAGCATAAGGTCTGATATCCATATATAACATAAAGATGTCCGTAGTAAATTGTCACATCATCACACAATATACTCTTAAATAACAAATATAAGCCGTAAATGTAGTTTTTTTGACGTGACAACGTCTTAAATTAGGTTGCGGCTGGGAGTCACTTATGAAAAAGTGTAACGCTCGGTAACGTTACGATGAGTCTCTCGTGTTAAGTTTAAGTTTACATGTACAATGTTTTAGTAAACAAAATATATTTCTATAGTTAAAATTTGTGCAATTCTTATTTTCATTCAATTCCTTGTTCCTATTGTGCAATTTAATTATATTCATATCAATAAATATTCTACCGAGAAAAAGACGTTGTCACGTAAAATCTTCGCCCGTAAAACCGACTTTACAGGCAACCATTTTTTTTTAAATAATAAATGCGTCATAATTTGCTTCTCAATGCTTTATATGATTGGTAAAAAAATCAAATGCTAGAAAAATACCAATAGAAGTTAAAGCAAATTTTACTTCTTACAAACTTCAAATCGCTGTAAGACTGTAAAATAGGGATTAAGCAGAAGTAGCTTTATCCTATGGATAGGTAGGTATGGAAATGACGGACTTTATTTTCTCAAAAAAATGTGGTACCAAGCTATTTTAAAAACTGAAAAATGACTTTAACCAACTTTGAGGTTTATCTCAGTACAAATAAGATTTACAATCTATTGTAATAAATTGACGATTTGTGGTAATCTTATGTTGTTGACTGTAGATACGAATCTGATAAACACTTACATTTAACAATCAGGATTGTTCTAATATATTTTCAGAGTCCTTATGAAGTGGATGTGCCTGAAGATGAAGAAATCGGTAAAACCATATTGACGAATATCCATGTTGAAGACATCGACTCCGTTGGTGACAGTCTCGAAGTGGGCTGTTTAAATGAACAAGTAAGTAGTATACTTTTGTATAACCCGCAAATGTATTATAGTAATAATAATCATGCAGATTCTGTCATTAAAGTAACTTATTTTTATATGCACTGAGCTATCTTAATATAGAGTCCCTATATTATTTATGTTCACAGTTTTTTTTGTTTTTCATTATAAATAACGGAAATAAACTTCGTCGACAGAAGCTAAGGTAATCATTATCATTAGTCAATTTTAAGTGAATGATCTAATATCTGATATGCTATATGTTTAAGATACTCTGTAGTTTTACCTTAATAACGATGAGGATTTTTTTTTATTCGAAGAACCAATTCAGTTTGTTGCGAGACGAAAAGGGAAAGTAATACTTCCTAAATTTAATTTCTCTCCTATTGGATTTACCGATTCCTGTATATTTTCTGACTCGAACATACACGCCATTTTTATTATAAATTCAAAGTGCAAGGACACTCTTTAAGATCGAATGGTAGACGCGCAACTATAAAAACAGGATTCTGTCTGTATGTGGAAAAAACAGAATATGTATACGGGTATGGTTGAATTCAATTCTTAATTGAAGTATAGAAATTGAAATTTAACAGCATAAATACTCGTATAATATATCACTCAGTTATGTCAATGTGATTGTGAATTATGGTTTGTTTCAGTGGCCAGAAGCGTGCGAGACTTTTGAAGTGGTTTTGCTCAACTCAACCGCCAACCACTACACTGGTGCACTCGTGCTGAGAAAACCGTTGAACTATAACGAGAAACAGTTCTATCAGTTTCAGCTTTATGCAACTGTAAGTATGTAGAAATGTAGAGGGGTTTGTAAGACAAAACTAGATTGAACGACGGCCAATAATTATGATATCTGTTAGTTAAATATACTAGTTTTCTTTTAATGTTCATGTACATCATCATATGAATTAATATTATGATCTTATGAATAAGGTGAATTCCAAAACTAGTATTGCTGTTCACATGTGGTGTGTGGTGACTATGTTATATATATATATATATATATATATATATATATATATATATCCATAATTTCCATTCAATAATTCCTACTTTTAATTATAATTTCAGATATAATTAACATTTAATATTCAATAAAATATTCACTGACATAAATAAAATAAAAAAGTTATCTTTCCTTCTCTGTCTTGTTTGAGTACAGACATATTGCAAGTGAGAACTAAATTGTGACCTATTAATTTATTAAGAAAATAAGTAATATAGGTATCATTTTATTACGACTTACCCATTTCCTTAGTGACAAATATTGTTAGTTACATAGACTGATCATGATTAATGAAAGGTTTGTTAAATTTTATAGGCATGTATATACATAATACGGTTATATGTTAAAAAATCACTTTTCGTATATTCAGGATGGAACATTAAACTCATCAGCACACGTAGAAGTGAAAGTGGTGGACGTCCAGAACTCTCCGCCAGTGTTCAGTGGAGCCCTAACCGGTGCTTTGGCAGAAGATGCTCCAGTTGGAACCTTAGCCCTTACCATTAAAGCTAGAGATGCTGATAGGGCACAACCGAGAGATATTATGCTGGAACTGGTGACGAGTGAGTAATTTGAATTTTCCTCATTTTTTTTAAGGCCAAATTTGAATATGGCATAATTTAGTGTCCAGTTGGGACTTTAGCCATACCATTAAAGCTAGAGATGTTGATAGGACAATGTCGAGAGATATTATGCTGGAACTTGTGGTAATTTGAATTTTCCTTTATTCCTCATTTTTATTCCAAATTCCAAATTTCGATATGGCATAATTTAGTATCCAGTTGGAACCCTTTACTGTTAAAGCTAGAGTCGCTGATAGGGGCACAACCGAGATATATTATGCTGGAACTGGCGACCGCTGGTGACCGTGGTGATCCGCTCGTATAGCGGAGGGTGCGGGTTCAAGTCCCGTCGGCTTTTATAGTCAATTTTTTTTAGATTTAAACATCTCTAACAGTTAAAAGCATAAAAAATAGTTAATTGCTTGTTTATGACGCGTAAAACCTTGCATTGGAAAACAAAACGGACAACTGCGGAACTCTATACTGCGCGTGGCATGGCGTGGTGGACATTATTTATCGGGCGCAAGTTGCGCGCGTACGGCCGCACTCAGCGCAAATAAGGATTTTAGTTGAGAATGCAGATTTATAGAGCTAAAGATCCCATACACTACAGTGGTTAAATTTTTGTTCTACGACAAATATTGACGAAGTTATGGCCTAATTTTACAAAACGAATTTTCGTCTGGCCGCGTGGTGGCTGTGACGTCACAGAGCTCTAGCGCTCGTGCGCGAGCGTGCGTACAGGCGCTACTAAAGTTCAACCGGAGTGAACCATCGAGCTTTGTGACGTCAGACGTTTCGGCCGCCGGTGAATATTGGCTACCATAAAGTTAGTCGTAAACTCGCAACGAATGAACCGATTTCGTTGATTGAAAAACTATATTCATTAAAAAGCTTTGTCCTCATTGCGGCGCGCATCTTGCGCTCTTACACGACGTAAGTTGCTCTGCGTGTGGCCGTACACTACCAGCTATTATTAAATTAATTACCATTATAACTAATTATTCCTTGTTTTATAGACCCGTTAGATTTCTTCGTATTGGACAGTGCTACTGGGGAACTAAGAACAGCAAAGCCTTTGGACAGAGAAGCTTTGGCCGACCCTTCTTCGCCACTCAATCTTACAGTCAGGGTGAGTAAACCTAAAAGCTTGTCTGTAGTTCTTTCCATCGAGTTTATTTCTGATCATTGTCAATGATTGATGAAAATTTGTAGAAGGCAGTTGCCTTGGTAGTCTTGGTATATAGTGGTGGTAAGTTACCACTGCATTTACAGACGTCAAATAATTGATAAATCTTTGATAAGTCTTTTACAATAAACTCCCTGGCAATATACGAAAATGAAGCGTCAATAAATTTAAAGCTTCTATTAAAAATGTCCTTGTTGAGAAAGCCTATTATAAGGTGTCTGATTGTATTTCAGACAAAAATGCTTGGATTTATACTGTTGCAAGCCATCCGGCAGACTTTTTTTATTGTTATAATGAAGATGATAGGCTTTGTATTGACATCGTAACAATATTATATTTTGTTAATATTGTTACATAATTATTTAACGCTGTGAAGTTATTTTGCCTAGTTTATCTCCATAGCTATAAAAATGTACTTTAACTGGTGGCAGGGGAAAAAATAAGGACGATTCAAAAGAATTGTATTGTGCATCCAATTGGAATAAAGAACTTTTGACTTTTTGAAAAATAATGTTGTTTTGGGCTAAGAAGAGAGATCACGGAGCGGATTTTTCTGCAATATAATAAACTAATAAAATAACTATTCGATTTGGCGTAGCCCTTTGAATGGCTACATAATTATATATTATGAAGATCCATTTTTAGTGATATGCATAGATGATTCAAATTCTAAGAGATATAAGATCCCCATTTCATTCCAGGCTACTGAAATAGTGAACGGAGTACCGCTCTACTCGGATCTCACATCGACTGTGGCCACGGTCACAGTGACTATAAAGGATGTGAACGATGAACCGCCCCGGTTCAACCATCGTGAATACTTTGTGGATATTCCGGAGAGTCTGCCGGTCGGCACTCCCCTGCCCAATCTGGATATGACTGTTACGGATACTGATCTGGTAAGATTTGTGAAGCTTTAACTTGATGATGTGTAACATCTTTCCTCTCACTTTCGTGCAATTTGTGAGAGTGATTACATGAAGTGGGACGGAAGTGTGTAACAGGAAGTTTGGGAAGCGCGCGCTCTTTGATTTGATTTTAGAACATAATGTTCAAATGGCTTATTCCTTTTGTAGTAGGTTTTTTTTTTCTAATATGGGGTGAGGTTTCAAATGTTACACATCATACGCGACTACTGTAAGTCTCGCTCGTTTTTTTGTTTGGATATCAAACTATATTTTTAATGAAAAAAAAAACTGGACCTAACACTATAATTTACAATATCGCAAGTACCTACTTCGTGGAAAACTAATCGTGAAGTCTTCCGGTCGGCACTCTGCTGCCGAATCTGGATATGAGTGTTACGAATACTGATCTATACCCCTAGCACGAACCATTATCGAATTCGAATAGTTTGCAAACCGAAATGTCAATGTCAAATTTTGTATGGAAACTTGTACAGCAGCGGCACAAAGTACGTAACGAGAACTAAAAATCGTACACATTTGATAATGACGTTTCGGAATCGCAAACGTTACGAATTCGATTTTGGTTCGTGCTAAGGGTTCTGGTTCTGGTATTTGTATGTCAAATTATATTTTTAAATAATTAATTACACTAACGTGTTAACTTCAATTTTATACAAAGACACAATATGGTTTGTATTTTCGAAATGTCCATAAAGAGTTGTGTGACAATATGAATTTGAGTTTGTATTTTTCAAAAATTTCATGTTCAAAACGAGTAAGCCAGATAAAGTAAAAAAACGTATTAAAAAAACTATTGTAAACTGAAACTAGGGGAAAAGCATTTTTAGAAAATTCAATCATTGCCATAATTGAACTTTCTAAAAATACTTTTTTTTTTATATCATTAATAGTAGTATCAAGCTTTCAAGATTAAGTTTTATGTATCTTTTCCCAGGGTCTAAACTCTGTATTCTCGTTACGCCTTTCGGATGAAATGGGTGCGTTTATAGTGGAGCCATCAACAGCTACCGGCAGTGCTTCCGTTACCCTGAGGCTCAATTCCAGTCTCGATTACGAAGATCCCAATCAAAGAAAGTTCATCTTGGAGGTAAGCATGAAATTGTAACAAAGAAAGAAAGAAAGAAAAATACATTGAATATATTGATGTTAATAGTGATTTAATATTAACTCATATAGAGGACCTTGACTGGATTTGAACATTAACCATTTCGCACTAAAACACCGACAAAATATTAGAGACAAGATTGATAGGACAATAAATAGTTTAAACAAGTTTTTTTTTATCTAGAATACATTTTATTTTAAAATTTTATATGAAGAAGAATACCTACGAAATGAAATTATGCGTAGATGATTTTGTTATCGACGGTAAGGACACGGTAATATTATCTATACAGTATTCTATCTTCATACAAACGGTCGGAAAGCGTGTCGTTCCTACGCCACTCGAGTTCGCGCGGCACCCGGTGGGCATCCAGTCGCGAATGCGTCACAGCGACGACCGATCCGTGTGAATTGTTTTTAGAGCAGTTAGCCGTGCTTAAACGTTTGTATTGTGAATATTTGATTGAATTAAGTAGATACCTACATAATTTAATATGGCAAAGAGCAATAGTCGATATTGTGCTGTTTTTGGTTGCTTGAACTCTTCAATAAAATTAAACTTTGTATACGAATGCGTATTTATTATACTATTAAATTCAATAATAAAGTTTTTCGTACGTCTCAGTCGAGGCGTAAATATTTTTCTGTCTCAAATGTATATTTTTTTTTATTAATTATTACACTTAAAATAACATGTATTTTATGCAACACTTCATTCACATCAACATTTTTTTACAAATGCAATAAAATATTTACAATAACAAAACTAGAAAGAAACTCAATTATGTAGATGAAATTAAAATACTGTAGGCGGGCAGTCCTACCGCGTGCATACGCCCCGTTAGCCCGTAGGTAGTTATTTCAAGGACAGGGCCGAGTCACAATACTGTATAGATAATATTACCGTGGTAAGGATATTGAAACCAATGCCTTAGTCAAACTACTTTATTTCTAGGTTATAGCAGAAGAACTCCATACATTGCCTCGATTGTCTTCAAAAGCTAGTGTTACTATATCTCTGATAGATGTAAATGATAACGCGCCTCAGTTCACTGAGGAACCGTATTCAGCTACTGTAGCAGAAGCGGCTGCCGCTGGGACCAAAGTTGCTATTGTCAAAGCTACTGATAGAGATACGGGCAGGTGAGAATAATGTTTTTTTGTTTATCTAGATGACATGTTCATTAATTGTCATTTGGTTTTTAATATACTAGCTGTGCCTCGCGGTATTACCCGCGGCTTATTAGGGATATTTTCCCGCAGTAAACTGTAGCCTATGTGTTAATCTAAAGTGTCAGCTAACTTCATACCAAAGTTTATTAAAATCGCTTCAGCCGTTTAGACGTGAGGAAGTAACAAACATACCCACTCACAAAAATTCGTTTTTATAATGTTAGTGTGATTTTTCTTCCTGATCAACCACTGGTGCGTAATTCCAATTTTCTTGATAACGTTAACAAAAAGTACTTACTTAAAAAAAACAAATATAAGTATTACACTAAGATCAATTTGAATTTAATTAAGAAATAGATGTCCTGAATGGGTAGCAGGAAAAACATTTGGAGGACCGTTCAAAAGAGCTTAATTTTACATTCCAATGTGATAAATTTTATTTTTAATTTACCTAAATTGTTGACAGATTCATGATTTTATTTGATACATACATGATGTAAACTAGCAAAGCAACGCGTCGCAGCTTCCTATTTTATTTTAACAAATCCTGCGTATTATTTAAACATTGCATTTTATACTATCCTAGTTCTAGTAATAATTCAAAAAGATTCAACCATCAAGTGATGCTTTCTTGTAAACGTCATAATTGTCATTTACATAGCTTTATGAACATTTAGTTCAAGACTCAAATCTTTTTTATCTCACGTCTGTTAATTTTATACACTTAGCCCTTATTGCCAATCAAAATGCGAATTCATTAATCTCGTGACTAATAGTTCCGCTAAAGTTGATCCCTATTAGCCAATCATAGTCTGTCTCTTACATATCTTTTGACATGATTACAAAAATAAATCTTTCAGGTTCGGAACTGAAGGCATCGTCTACAATCTATCCGGCAACGGCGCAGAACTATTCAGGGTAGACAACAGAACTGGTCTCATCACTGTGGCGCCCTGCCCAACTCCGGGACAAGCGCCTTGTTTAGATTACGAGACTAGAAAGGATTACTTCTTGCAGTACAAGGTATTTGGTGTAACATAAGAATTTTGCCACATTAGGTATGTTATAGCTATTAACGGGATTGTTACCATGTTCTTTATGAGTCTCCGATATTTCGGCACTGTTTCAAGCCCCATGATCACGGAGTAACTGAAGTAATTGCGGGGAGATGTTATTGGAAGACATATCGGTCTACCCTCTGACGTCGTCTTTTACTGCACTCGATACCCCTACTACTGGTTAAATTCTCATTTTTAACTTGCACCTGTTTTCGATACACAATATTCACAGCATCAGATCGCGGAACGACACTTTGCTGATTTTTGCGATTTTTACATACGAACCACTGGATTCCAGACACTTGACAATGGTAACAATCCAGTTAATAGCTATAATGTTAGTGACCATGAAAGTTTAAAACAACATATTAGGTATGTTGATGAAATTGATGTGATAGGAATTATATCTAAAATAATGAAAAAAACAGATTATTATATTTATATATTTTTTTTAAAGCATGTAACTGCTTGATGTTTAAATCTAAAGAAAATATAACTAGAAAAAAATCCGCGCGGACCAGGCAGCAGACGGGACTCGAACCCGCACCCTTCGCAATCCGGGCGAATTCACTGACCAATTATGGTCCGTGAGGACCGCGGTAGCATAATAAGTCAGTGCATTCGCCCGGATTGCGGAGGGTGCGAGTTCGAGTCCCGTCTGCTGCCTGGTCCACGTGGATTTTTTTCTACTTACTCGTATATTTTCTTTAGAATATTATATTTTTATTTTTAAGCATTTAAAACAGCCATTTGTTTAAATCTAAAGAAAATATAATTAGAACAAAATCTATTCTGTCCGGGTTTCAGACGGGATTCGAACCCGCATCTTCCGCTATCCGGGAGGACGGACGAAGATGCGGGTTCGAATCCCGTTGAAACCTGGACCTAGTGTTCTTTTTTAAGTAATATTTTCTTTAGATTTAATAAAAAATATTCTGAAGATACATTTTTAATGATAAATTATATATTTTTAATGCCATTCTTATTAACACTTAAACTTGCTATTTTCATGCAAATTATAGAAGTGACATTTAAATACCATTAATCTATCTTAAACCAAAACTTTGATTAAGTACTGACCCTTCAATCTGATCTCGTGGTAACCTAACTATAAATGTATCTTATATAGCATGATTGTAATCCATAATACATATATTCATATTCTAGGCGACAGACGACGACGGCTCGGGGCAGATGACGGTGGTGTCACTTCAGATCTCATTAGAGGATTCCAACGATAATCCTCCTACCTTCTCTACACCTGTCTACAAATCCTCTATCGATGAAGATGCTGTTAAATTCGAACCTGAGTTACAAGTAAGTGGTTGAACATAAAGGTAATTGGCACATTATTCCGCAAAAATAGTTGAGCTCTAAGATTATTAAGTAAGTTATATTTTAGATTAGATTTTAGATAAAATCGAAGTTTAATACCTCATCATCATCAGCCTATTAATGTCCCCACTGCTGGGGCACAGGCCTTCCCGGTTTATGGAATAGGGAGATAGGGCCATGACCCACTACGCGGGCCCAGTGCGTATTGGTGAGTGCTAACGACTGCAGATGCAGCCGGGACCAACGGCTTAACCTGCCTTCCGAAGCACGGAGGAGCTCGAGATAGTAATTTTTGGTCACCCATCCAATGACCGACCACTGCGAAAGTTGCTTTAGTTCAACGATCGCAGCCGAACGCGCCAACCACTTGCGCCATCGAGCTCCTCTAAATATGTATCAGTCTGTGTGTATCTTAATACATATTTAATAAAAAGTAATAAAATATATATCCTAGCCAAGAAGTAAGAATTGAAAGGTTTGTGTTATTGAATACTAGGGTAACCGATAGAATACATATACTGAGACATATTTAGGTATATTTTATGTAGCAGTACATATAAACATTCAAATGACTTACTTTGAAACCCGGCGTACATACAACTTGGCCACGGAGGTCGTCTCAACATCATATTTGAACAATTCTGAAGGAAAGTAACAGAAATTCTAGTACTTTGCTGAAACTTGGGGGCCGTTCAAGTATTACGTAAGCAGATTTATTACAATTATTTACCCCCTCCTCCCCCTCGTCAGCAAAAGTAAGCAAAGCTCTTACCCCTCCCCCCATCCTTACGTAAACATTGGTACCTATATGCATTTTTCCTTTAATGTATTCTGTTTTTTTTATTGATTCATGAGCTTTCATGAGCTTCATGACCAGCAGTACTTAAAAAGGCTTAATCGATGATGCTGACGTAATTACCATCTCTACCCCCCCCCCCCACCCCAAGTCATCAAAAATAAGCAAAACAGACCCCCCTGCCCCCCTATAGTGCTTACGTAATACTTGAACAGCCCCTTGAGACTATCACCGATAACTACAGCACTTTTTAGAATATAATTATTAACCTCACAAAAGAAAACCTTTTTACTAGTAATAATAATAATCAACTCATCTCCGTTATCCAGTTGGAATCTAACCAGAGTTCTTCGTCATCAGTAGACCTATTCGCCAACTGCTTTAGACAGATAGAAGTGGTTATCACCAAGCTATTTAGTGATCCATTACTGTGTTATTACAACGTCACTACGATAGTTGTTATGAAAAGCATCGATGGATATGTTTTGACGACCTCCGTGGTCTTGTGGTTTGTACGCCGGATTTCATGGTGTCGCCGACTCGAGAGGTCCCGGGTTCGAATCCCGGTGGGGGCAGATGTTTGTGTGATGAATACGAGCATTTGTACTCCAGTCATGGATGTTGAATTTGTATTTCTATATAAATGTACTTATATATGTACTGTGTATGTATTCTATCCGTTACCCTAGTATCCCATAGCACAAGCCTTACAGTGCTTACTTTGGGGCTAGGCTAATTGGTGTGAGTGTTGGAAATTTTTATTTTATTTTTAATATGCAATTTTATCTTTATCACACACTGTAAACATCAAAAAAGTTAGCGATTAGGCCGGCAGGAACAAAGCACTGCTAGCTACCGACACCTCAAAGTACATGTGGAATTCCTTCCAAAATATCTTACACTATCAACTGACCATCGTATGGTAGTTGGTTTGAAAAAAATATAGATTTCTAGACATACCATTTTTGTTTTCAGGTACAAGCTCGAGACGTGGACGTTTCCTCCGAAATTCGGTACTCGATCATCGAACCCGCGACACACCCGTTCTGGATCGACCCGCTAACGGGAAGAATATCCGTGCTTCCCGAGACCGGAGGCGTATCACAGAACGGAGACGACAACAAGATCGTGCTTACTGTTCTGGTAAGATTAAAGATGAAGTACCTATTGTAATTTTTCAAATAATTTGTAAATGTGTTTCTGGTTATGAAATTTTCGTTTAAAATATTAAGGATCTGTCTTATATTGTTTGAAGACAAATTTATAACTCTTGGTCTCAAACTCCCAAGAGATGATGATAATAACTGGTAGAATAGGATTGATTGTTAAGCGCAGTGACTTAAGTTTGGATGTTTCTTGCGTTATATGATATTGTCTGTTTTAGAACTCTTACATCTGGTCTACTATAAACCAGACACAGTTTCAAATCATTTTATCATTTAGGCAAGATTCCCATGAAGTTTTCTTCTTATACACGCGTTAAATGTCTGACCAACGTCTTTTTGTGGTAATACATTTTTATTTACAAGCCTCCATTGTCATAAGGCCAATAATCTTCCTTAACTTATTCTAGGCTACTGATGGCGTACACAATGCCACCTGTAAGGTGGAGATTACCATCCGCGACGTGAACAACCACGCTCCGATATTCGATATCGACAAATACGACGCCGACGTACCCGAGGACGCACCTATAGGTAAGAATGATTTTAATTAAGATCCGTTTCTTTATCACCTCACAGTATTGTACTAGCAAACCAGTGAACTAAATGTTCACCAAAACCTGATTAAAAAAAAATGGGTGCGTGTACTTATGTAGGCGCGTGAGAAGTTATCCTTCTTTGGCATCGTTTAAAATTAGTTTTTAATTGCATGCAAATAATTAATTACAATAAATGAATAAAAAGTCTGGAAAAGGACACAGTCAATAAAGTTCAGTTTTAATTTGAAAAAATAAATAAATAATCAAAATATTCAATTAAAATCGCTACTGAATATAATTTATTAGAACATATGTGATTTGCACTTGTATGAAATTCAAACACGTATTCCGAATATACAAACTAGAAACATGTGGATAAATATTATAAATATGAATACCTATAACTGTTACTTTATTACAAAAAATAAAGATGTGGTTTTTGGTTCTACTACACCAATGGTCAAGAGATGGCGCTGTAGTCTCCTGAATCGCGCTTTGGTTCCGTTGTTCCAGATTAATAAATACTTTTGATAGGCCTTCACAATGCAGTCGTTAGCACCCACTAAATAGAGATTCTATTTCTATTTTGTTGGTAGATTTTCTTAATGTGCGGTAAAAGTAATAGCATGAAGTTGGTCGCTTTAGCGATAAACTTCATGCTGTTAAAATTTTGTGTTACTTACAGTGATGCGCGCGCATCTTAAAATTTCACTCTCATCATTTTTTCATAACGCGCCTAAAGAAGTATAACTTCAAAAATGTATTTAATTATGTAATTGAGAACTTCGGAGATTTTGTGTGGTTTCGTTTGAAATTCGTGATTTCTCGAAAACCGGAAGTGCTACGTTACTCAAATCCGGTTTGTAGTCTTATCAGACTATAACTTAAATATTCTCTTTATCTATCTCTTACGGTTTGGCCGCTGAAACAGCACCACAGACAGACGGACGGACTTGTCTAATAGATAAGAGATGCTAGTCAATCTTGTCGATTGGGAGTTGATTTGACAGCTCACATTAACAGACATTTAAATCATTCTCTATGTCTATGATTTACAGTGAAAGGTATATTTTTTTCGGGGAAAAAATATTTTTGCCGTCAAGATCAAGCACCAGCACTGTTTTGACCAGACCAGCATTTACAGGATTAGATACGGCCAGATTAGTGTACTTTAATTATTTCCGTAGTGTAATATCGTATTGAATTTTATTGTGGCGAAACGCCGCCGACATTTTTTGTGCTGCAATTTATAATCTTAAAGTCAAAGAATTCAAAGAATTTGGCATAATGACGGTCGTATCACAATACATAAACGAAAACTTATTACTTGTAAGAAAAAATATTGAATTGTTTCTTAAAAACAGTGACACACTTAATACAAGAAACAAAAATAAAATAACTGTACCTGCTACTAGGCTTCACAAAATCAATAATTCATTTAAAGTTCTTTGTGTTTGCTTATACAATAAAGTCTCATACAATATCCAAGAGTTAACTATAAATAAATTCAAAGATAGTATAAAAAAGGACTTATTAAAAAAAAGCTTATTACAAAGTGTCTGATTATATTACAGACAAAAATGCTTGGGTTTGAACTGTTCCAATCATTCCAACATGTTTTCTATATTAAATAAATCATGAATGTATTGACGTTGTAACAACGTAATTATCTGTAAATGTTGCTACATTGTACTTTTAATGTTGTGGAGTTTTTTTCGCTCGTTTTTCTCCGCAGGTAAAAGATATGTCCAATAACGAGTAGGAAGGAAAAAAAATTTGGACGTTTCAAAAGAGTTGTACTATACATCCAATTTCAATAAAGATATATTGATTTCTGATTTCTAAAAAAAATATTGTTTGCCTATTCTATGAACATTATAAAAACCACTTTTTCTTTGAGATAGTAGATTAAAATTCGTCTATTCGCCACATCTCAATTCCATCAACAGGTACCGAAGTAGCAGCAGTCCGTGCCACAGACTTAGACAGTGGTATCAACGCGGAGATAAAGTACGGCATTCAGAAGGGGGCGCAAGAAGCGTTTGTCATCGACAACATCACAGGAGTCGTCAGCGTCTCATCCGCTTTGGATTATGACAAGAGGAACACTTATAAGATCCAAATCATCGCTTCTGATCTTGGTAAGATTGTTATCGTAATAATAATAAATGCTGAGGATGAAAATGCTTACAATTTATAGAATTATATCTTTAACTAGCGGTCCGCCCTCGCTTCGCTTCGGTGTAAAGCTGAAGTATAGACTACAGTTTTTGTTGTCAGGCTTGTATTATACACAATGACATTCATCTATGATTCTTCTTATACCTGCATGCAAAGTCTCAGCCCGATCGGTTTAAAATTGACAAAGTTTCATACAAACTTTCATTCCCTATTTTATCCTCTTGGGGGTAGAATTGATCAAAATCCTTTCTTAGTGGATGCCTACGTCATAACATCTACCTGCATGCCAAATTTCAGCCCGATCCGTCCAGTAGTTTGGGCTGTGTTGATAAATCACTATATCAGTCAGTCACCTTTGACTTTTATATACATATATAGATAATAACGGTCATTTTTATTACCTGTATTTATAACCAAACTAAAATTCTCATATTTCCGTTTTCCAGTACTCATTTTCTACACGTTTTACATGATTTATTTGCTAATTTTGTTTACAAATGTTTGGTTTTTATTCTAAGATAAGCACGGTTTCTCAATATCAATTATTGTCTGTCAATAAGGTCGAACGCTCTGAACGCATCAACAGCCAAATATTGAATGAAGCTCGCTTTCTTTTTTTTTTGTTTCCTCCCCGGCGGGGGAGCGGGTGTGAAATCCTCATGGATACCCTACAGCCGGCTGTAAAGTTATGTCAGACTCTTACTGACTAAAACACACCCGTGGGGGGTGCCTATGGCCTTAGGGGCCTTACAGGCTTCATCTGATGCAATCAACCCCTGAGAAGGGGATGATGCAGCGCTGCCTTAGTAAATACTACTGCATAGTGCGCTTAGAGGACGGATGCACCCTGATGTGCATCCGTATCGGTTTGGGACTGAGCGACTGAAGGTCTCTCAGGATCGGGGGGGCGGGGAAGCTCGCTTTCGGACCTCCCGCCTTTTTATACCCTACAGCCGTTACACAAAAATAATACTTAAAGCATGATTCAGTATTTGCGTGCGAAGGCGCGATGGCTTATTTCATGTATAAGTTTGGTGTTTCTATACCGATTTCTATGATTCTTTTTTTTATTGAATAGGTAATAATGTTAACTTTTTTAAATTAGGGATGAGTGAGAGTATTATAAACGTAAGAGTAAACAAATATAATCAGAATGCTCCGAACTGCTAAGCTATCAGGAGTTACACGTGTTATTGTGAGTCAACCATAAAAGATAGACATATGCTGTTGCGGGATATTTTTTAGACAATTTTATGTAGAATTTTTCCGTCATACATGATTTCTATGTAACTTTAACCATTAAGGCTCCACACGCGACGGAAGCTTAAAAAATGGAGTGACTTCTCCCGTTTTCCCAACATTTCCCTTCACTACTCTGCTCCTATTGATTGTAGCGTGATGAAAAGTATACTGTAACCTGCCCAGGAGTATGAAGAATAATTATACCAAGTTTCGTTAAAATCCGTCGAGTAGTTTTTGTTTCTATAAGGAACATACACACAGACAGACAGACACACAGACAGACAGACAGACAAAAATTTTACTGATTGCATGTTTGGCATCAGTATCGATCACTTATCACCCCCTGATAGTTATTTTGAAAATATATTTCATGTACAGAATTGACCTCTCTACAGATTTATTATAAGTATAGATAAGAAACGCTATAGTTAGAAATGGATTAGTTAATAAAATATTTTTTCTCATTAATACGAGGAATGTTATCAAAGTTAATTTTTGTTAAAAAATGTGTTCCTATTTGGTGAATAATGGTTGCTTACAAAATCTAGTCTGAGATCTTTTATCCTAAATATACTATCACTCAGTTTATTTTAAGTATTTAACTGCTAGATTTGTAAATTTATATAAAATATTACTCTAAAATAATTCAGCCTGGACTGAGTGTTTTTTTTTTCACATCGACAGCCAAGCAAGTGAAAATATAACTAGAAAAAAAAAACAGGTTTCAGACGGGATTGCCTCGACCGGGAGTGAATTTTTTTCTAGTAATATTTTTTTTATATTTTCACTTGCTTGACTGTCGGTGTAGGTAAGAATTACTTCCCTAAGATCAGGAATCTGAAATAGTTCGCTTTAAATTCATTTTAACTTCTGAGTTGAAAGGTATCAAGCCTGATAAAGCCAACAATATAATTACTTATATTTTTTCCCCAGGGATGCCCAGTTTGACAGGTACGACCGAGTTGACAGTTCACGTGATCAACGTGAACGATAAGAAGCCTTCTTTCACTCCACCGGTGCAGAGAGCGGAAGTGTCTGCTGATGCTGAAATTGGCACTCTAGTCCATAACCTGATAGCTGTGGACCCTGATATTACTGACAATGGGCTTTTGGTCTACGAGCTACTTCAAGATAGGGTTATTAAAGCCGTGGACAAAAATGGGAAAGAGGTAAGTGGAGCTATTAATTTATGACATTTTCTTTGTTGTTTAAAATATGTTCTTATTAGTTGTATTATATTAAATTTTGAATTCTTATTATATATTTTTTTTGACTTTTAACTGTTACGTGTTTCAATGTAAAGAAAACTTTACTAGAAAAAAAACCACGTCGACCAGGAATCGTACAGGACTCGAACCCGTACCCTTCGCTATCCGAGCGGATGCAGTGACCGTTAGGGCCGCGGTAGCATTATTACTACCACCGTGTACCATCTCCTGCCTTTACGCGTGTTTTTTTTTCTAGTAAAATTATCTATATCTTAATTCATATTAATATAATATGATAGTTCTCTTCATGTACAAGATCTTAGCTAGTTATCTGGAACAACAAATGAAAAATGAGTCTAAAATGACAATAATTACATTCAGTTTATATAAATGTAAATCCAGATATTATTTAAAAGATTCAACTCTTTAGCACTATCCCAAAGTGAATCATGAAAAATATCAACTTAATTTCGATATCAAAGTGTGCGACAATAAACACTTTATAAACAACTAGTGGCCCGTCCTCGCTTCGCTTCGGTGTAGAGCTGAAGTGTAACAGTTTTTGTTCTCAGGCTTGTATTATACACAATGACATTCATCTATGATTCTTCTTATACCTGCATACAAAGTCTCAGCCCGATCGGTTTAAAATTGACAAAATTCATACAAACAATAGGCGTCCGCTAAGAAAGGATTTTGATCAATTCTACCCCCAAGGGCTTAAAATATCCCTATTTTAAGCCCTTGGGGGTAGAATTGATCAAAATCCTTTCTTAGCGGATGCCTACATCATAACATCTATCTGCATACCAAAGTTCAGCCCGATCTGTCCAGTGGTTTGGGCTGTGCGTTGATAGATCACTATGTCAGTCAGTCACCTTTGGGTTATATATATATATAGATTGCCATTTTTTCCTACAGGTATCCGATGAAGGTATCTTCGGCTCGTGGTTTTCTGTACAACCCAACGGTTCAGTACTAGTTGCTCAAAAACTCGATCGTGGTCGAGCAGCAGTTGTGACCTTGCCAGTAGCTGTAACTGATGCATCTGCTTTGGCATTACAACAGACTGAAGGTAAGACGGTACCTCATTTCTTATATCTATCAATAGGCTTTCAGAAATTATTAGGGAATTGGAGATTTATTGCTCAAATCTCGATCGTGGTCGAGCGGCAGTTGTGATTTTACCCGTTATGTTCAAAATTCAAAAATTCAATATCGTTTATTCAGTCTAGGCTGTTACAAGCACTTGTAAATGTCTAGAAGCTACGCCATCGGTTCGCAAATCTACGGCGGGAGACCTTGTACTGAGAAGAACCGGCAAGAAACTCAGCAAGAGCTGTTTTTTATATTATATACAGAGTCGTCAATTTGAAAAATGACTTCAATATGAGATAACTCATGAAGTCACTTTCCATTACAAATGTAAATGATAAAACAATTAAGACTATAAAATAAAAAATATAAAAAACAGATTTAAAAAAATAGTTTGGGAATGCCGCGTCTCACTGTTTAGACATAAAAACAAATGTACGATTAAAGTTAAATACAACGATTAATAGTGTTGTTACTGATGCATCTATATAACCAAAGAAGCTGTAAAGTCAATGCAGGTGTGACGGCATTTCTATAAGGCAAATATTTAAATGATCGTAAACAAAAAATATAATTGAAAACCTACTCTAACTTTTAGGTTAGTCGTAGATCGTTTAATATTTTTTTCTGGATGACTTAATTATTTCCCTTTTTATAATATTGAGATAGCTAAAGTTTTTAAATATATATAGTAATCTTATCCTACCTTCTACATTAAATGTATTTTGTAAAAATACAAAAGATTCTCCAGTGATCGCAAATGCATCCCTAACAGATCCAAACGATTTTTTTTCTCTCTTTATTGTATCACCAACAGTTACTACATCAATAGATCTAAATTAATTCAATTTTACATTCAATGATATAATGTGTAACCACTTATAGGCGAACTCAGCATTTCATTAAGCTTCAGTAGATATTATTTAATTAAAGTTAAGTCTTTAAATCTGTTTCAAAATATTATTCTTTTATGAATTTGGAGGAAATATGTGATCATTCAATTTGTTCTGCAAAGAGACCACAGAGTCATGATGTATGTCGACAATGTTACTATATTTGTTAAGAGTATAGGATAATCTCGCAATGGGGGAGTTGGAACCAAGTACCGTTCTTCTCAAGGGTGGTCAAAGTGGTGTAATTTATGTTTAAATTTCCATAATTTATCACATTTCAGGTGAACTAATAATAAACATAGTGGATGTGAACCGTCACGCCCCCGTATTTGGTCAACCAGCGTACCACTTGACTATGGCTGAGGAACAACCCGTAGGAACTGTATTGGACACATTCACTGCTACAGACAAGGAAACACCCATAGCTGCCATTGTCATACAACCGCCTAACCCTTACTTCGAGATCAACAATGTCACCGGTAAGATTCGTAAGATATAAGTTAAAATTAATGTTTATCCAATCGAAAGATTAGGGCAACCAGCATACCACTTAATTATAGCTTAGAAACAATCGGTAGGAACTATTTTAGACATATTGAAAGCTGCAGACAAAGAAACGCCAATTGCTGATATTGTAATACAACAGCTTAGCCCTTAATTTAAAGTCATTAACGTTACTGCTATAATAATATATGTTTGACCAAGCAAAAGAGTTCAATGTATCGCTATTTCCAATAAATATGTACCTTATCACTATAATGGGGATTTCGCAAGTGTGACTATGTATTCGGTAATTTTATACTACATACATTTTTAGCTTCTATTTAGTCGATAATCAAATAGCTTTATCCTCTCTATCCAATGAATATATCTTTATTTTAAAGCAATTAAACTTTAAAATATTTTGTAACTTCTCAACTCTTATCCGAATCATAAAACTAAATTATAGTTCCTTGAAACTGATTATTGAACTCTACAAACACAATGGTAACCAAATAATTTAACTACTCCAGCACCCAACGTCAAAAATTATGAATCGCCCAGGCCATATTCAAACAAATGGTGCGTTAAAATGCTAATTTCGCCTATATGAGTGCCCTCACATATAGATATATTTGATTCGCAGGTGTCGTGAAAACCATCCAACGGATCGACTACGAATCCCTCCACAGCATCAACTTTACTCTAGTCGCGTTCGACTCGGGCGTCCCCCAGCTTTCTACTTCAGCTTCAGTGATGGTAGAAATCCTCAACGTCAACGATGAAGAGCCTGAGTTCGCCGCTGAAGCTTACGATGCGGCTGTCGCTGAACACTCGGCTGCTGGTACCAAGGTCCTTACGGTCACCGCTGTGGATAAAGATGAAGGTACTCTAATTAACACAGATTCTTTTTAATGACTGTGATAGAAACATAAATTATTTTGTTAGTCTAATGATAAGTATTCCTTTAAAGCTATAATATCAATAGGCAGAAATATATTTCATGCGTTGTGTTGCATAGTGGATGAGTCCTAAATATAGTGTATCTATGATAATAAATTGACTTTCTCTGTTTTGTTCCTGCAGTATTAAAGTCATTACAATATCACAAAAACCATAGGCTCAAAGAAGATACTTGACTGTATTTTAGGCTGTATTAATAACCCTTCCTTCTACAATTTGACGGTATGATAACGCTTCCCAAAATCTTTCTATCTTAGAAAGATTTTTATTTTATTATCAGCATGTACGTTTCGAGTCTCCGATATTTCGGCACTGTTGCAAGCGCCATGGTCACGGAGTCACGGATATCGGTCTACCCTCTGACGTCTTTTAAGTGACCTTTTAATAAAGTTAGTGACTATGAAAGTTTAAAACATTTTAGAGTTTTATTTGGCTATAATCTCCTTTTAAGTTTAAAATCCAAGCAAGCACCCCAAATCTTTAAAGCCCTTATCTACATATCTTAGCACTGTGTCATCACTTACAGGGGAATTCGGCGAAGTCACTTACAGTCTGACAGGCAATCTATCGTCTCTTTTCTCCATCGACCCATACAATGGAGTAGTGACTGTAGCCCACGCAGCGGATATAGACAGAGAGACTACCGCCGATATTTATTTGCGAGCGGTCGCTAGTGATAACGCACCAGCTCATTTTAAACGGACAACTAGCGTGCCTGTAAGTTGAAACATTATTATCTTTATTGTTAGCTTTTCATCATCATCATCGTCAGTGATATCCACTGATGGACATAGGTCTCCTCATGGGATTTCCATATGCATCGACCCTGCGCTCTCCTCATCCAGTGGGACACTGCGGTTCCCGGTGCGAGGTCGCTATTAAAGCACCGCAAGGTGCTTACGATATAAGCTTTTATCTTGTATATTTTGTGGATTGGCGACCTAAAATAGGAAGCAGAAACGAAGGGAGACAGCCTGCCAGATGGTCCGAAGATATCATTAAAGAAGCAGGAAGGACCTTTCCTTCCTGCTTCCATTTGTATGGCACAACACCGAGCAAATTAGCGCAGCATAAAAGAAGCCTAAACCAAGCAATGGGTAGATACAGGTTGAAGAAGAAGATAGCTTAGCTTTTATCAAAAAATTTGGTCTAAATTTAGACTTGGGTGCCTGTAAGTTGTATTGAAACCGTTATTATAAAACTTGCGCTTAAGTTAGACTTGACATGGATGTAATACTATATGTTTCATTTTTAAAGCAAATAAGGTACGATTTTTTTTGGCATTAGACAATGTTTTGCAATAAGGAGAATACTAAAACTAATCTTAACATTATGTAAGTTATTAAAATGTATGAAGTAGAGCAGCATCACTATCAGGCACTTGTCGCACTGCCGACGATGGACGCGAAGCGAGTAGAGCTAGAAACTAGAAACGATCAGCGGGCAACGAGTGTGTAGTTCCGAGAGTTTTATCACTAGACTATAAGCGAGTACGATAGGTAATTGCAGTTCTGAGCCGCGCATTCTGCCGGCCAAGCAAGCATCGCTGACCGACTATTCTCTTTGATAGCTCTTGCCGCTTAGCGACAAACTAGAAGAGCAAGTTCTCGTCGGTGTTAAGAGTTCGGTCTCAGGAATCCAATCTTGAAATTCTAATTCTAAATTGTTAGATAGTCAACTTATATATTCAACTGTTTACTTTCCCAGGTCCACATAAAAGTCCTGGACATCAACGACCACGCGCCCGTGTTCTCCCAGAAGGTGTACAAGAGCACTGTAGCCGAGAATATTCGCTTAGACCCGCCGCCTGCCATTTTACAAGTCCTGGCCGAAGATAAGGACGAGGGCGCCAACGGGAAAATAGAATACAAGATCGTGGAGCAGAGTGAAGCAGGTTAGGGTTTAAGGCAGTTTGTTTATTTTCAGAGGTTTCGTCTTCAAACCACGAGATCGTAACCGCGCCGTACTTAGTAATATAATTATTTTTTGAGTTACTTTAAAAAATTATGCAGTCTTTTGCAATAGCAAAAGAATAAGAAAACACGACACTTAGCAACAGTTAATTTTAAGAGACTTTTTTAAATGTATTTTTTGCTTCATCTTTAAGTTTCCTTAGCTCGTTACAAATTAGGGATGACTCACACTAGATCGTACCAGGCCCGAGCCGAGTATCGACTTTAGCACGGTTGTTCACTTGGTATAGCGTGTGTCCATATAAAATGTATGTAATGTTAGTTCACCATGCTTTGGCTCGGCCCGGACCTGGTATGGTGTAGCGTGTGTCATCCTTTACTTCCAAAGAAAGACTCAGTATCGTTTACTTCTTAATTAGAAACCTCTGTACTGCATATATTTGTCAGCAAAACCTTTATCTACCAGGCGTATTCACGGTGGACCCAACCACCGGCATCATATACCCGTCCAAGCCTGTCTCCGGGAACACCACCTACCAACTAACAGTGGCGGCAACAGACGGCGACGGACGCGGCCAATACACGGACACTGCTCGCGTCGACATCACCGTGTTGAGCGTCAACAAGCACGCGCCCCTGTATACGCAGCCGCCGCCCGATCGCAGGCAGCTGCAAGTGCCGGAGGTGAGAGATCTCCTAAACAGGCCACAAACACCAACACTACACAGTCAGCAAACTGGCACACTAGCTTAGCATTAGGCAGACACCGCACCCAGTGCCGTCTTTGACCTATTGGAGGCCCTGGGCATATTAGGATAATATTTATTTATTTTTAAACTTTATTGATCAAAGTATAAATATATAAAATTGGTGCAAAAGGCGGACTTAATGCTAAAAGCATTCTCTCCCAGTCAACCTTTGGGAAAAATGAAAAACACGAACGGCGGTATAAAGCTAAATACGGATGTATATACAAATTAACATAGATACATGTATAAATACATACTATAAAAATAATATAATTCATACAAACAAAACCCACTAATATTTAAATATATACAGTATACATATATATATATATATATATATATATACACACATATATACACAAGATGATGATTAATAAAATGACACTTCATCTTAAGTTAATAAGGCCCCTATGACTTCCGTTTGGTGATATAACAGGAACTAGGGACTTTTATTTGATCGCGGGGCCCTGGGCTCTTGCCCAAAGTGCCCACTGGGAAAGACGGGTCTGACCGCACCCGTAGGATAAAAGTGCGAAGACCCGGTCTACACACGACACGCTATACCAGGTACATACCTGAGCGTTTTTGGCCGCCCTCCACGACAACGGCTAACTAGAGCCGAGGTCCGAGTCTCAAAGATGCCCTCAAGTTGAGTCGACCACCTCAGGTTCGAGTGATCTAGAGGCTGCAGACGGGGAGGAGACTCTCCCAGTGGTAAGATGCCATCCACCTGGAATACCTCTAGAGGCACTCACCAATTCTCGGCTTGAGGTCTACTTAGGATCTCGCCGTCCCCAAAACCGGTGACGCTGTAAAGGTCAACGGCGACTTAGCATACACACTCAAAAAAAATTAACATAGACAGAAAGGAATCAATTTATATGCTTTCACAGCAGTAAGTACATTAAAAAATAAAAAAGATAGAAAAGCATAAAAAAAAAACAGAAAACTGATTAATGTTAGTGCTGTTCAGGTCTATCAGGTTGCTGTTTCAGCCACAGCAGCGCTGATTTTCAGCCAGCGTCGAAAGCTTTCGCCATGACTCACAAAACCCTGTGCGGATTGGTAAGTGCTAACGGCTGCAGATGCAGCCGAGACCAACGGCTTAACATACCTTCCGAAGCAAGGAGGAGCTCATGATAGTAAATTTTTGGTAAATCATCCTATGACCGACCACTGCGAAAGTTGCTTAATTTCAACGATCGCAGCCTAACGTGCTTACCACTTGAGCCATCCAACTCCTATGTTACATTAATACGCATTAAGTATGGTGGTAGGTCACCCTGTACTCCCTATTCCATCATAAGGATAGACAGTAAACCAGCAGTGAGGGCATTATGAGGCTGATGATGATGCTCCACACAACCAGTATAGTTACATGTTGCGCGTCGGCATTTTATAGGAAAACGAGCCGGCGCGGTCGTAGCCTGAAATTTTGGAGGGGATCACTCATTACACTAATAAAAAATAGGTTTCTGGAATAAAATAAACATTATTGCACAAGACACAATTTAGTTTATACATTACTTATAAAATATTGTTATACAATCTTTATCATAACGCCGCATATCGATTTTGCTAGGATTACCAAAACTACGTAGTTCGGTTTCTTGTTTCTAAACTAGTACTAGATGTCATTTCCAAGTTAACTTGGCCATCGTACGTAGTTCATAAAACACCACTGGACGTCAACAAACAATAAATTTATCGCTGTTAGGGGATACCTATAAATTTCCTTTTTTTATTTGGCAAAATTTTGAGATTTTCAAATTGACCTTAGATTTTGGGGGGGTTATGTCCCCTGTGACACCCTCGCCCCCCTTCTGACCGCACCTGGGTCGAGCAAAAACGCATCAAAATTGGCTGAAACCATTTTTTTTGCTTACATTAGCTTTCATCATAACTGAACCTCATTGACATTTACTATAAGTTCTGCTATAGTAGTTGTACAAAAACTACATCCAACAAACAACTTTGATAAACAATAAGCAGAATATAAGATAAAAAAATATATCAAAAGTCTACATCCATTTGCAGGTAGTACATAGAGATTATATCACATATTTCAAAACCATTTCTCTTTGTAGAATGCAGCGGAAGCCGACTACCTGATCACCACAATACAGGCAACAGACGAGGACAGTGGCGAGAACGGACGCGTTTCTTACTACCTGAAGGTAGACAACCAGAACGTCGGCGAAACGGCGGAGTTCAGCCTCGACCCGGACTCCGGAGAACTCAGGACCAAGACCTTCCTGGACAGAGAGCATAAGGCTGAATATCAGGTAAGATTATTACTTCTTTTACTCTTGATTTGAGTACATTTCTTACTACCTGAAGGTGGACAATCAGAACGTCGGCGAAACGGCGGAGTTCAGCCTCGACCCGGACTCCGGAGAACTCAGGACCAAGACCTTCCTGGACAGAGAGCATAAGGCTGAGTATCAGGTAAGATCGTATCTTCGTTTTGACTTGGCCTGTTTATGGCCATTATGTTCTCGGTGTGTATAAAACTACAATAAGGCTGTAATTGAGTTTTGTTACTGAAATACTAAAAAGATTCTATAAGCTTTGTCCTGAAATAAAACTTTACTGAGGAAGCAATAACAAGAACGGGCGCGCGTAGAAACACATGTGACGATCGAGAATCTGAACTCTATAATTTAACATGTAATTCATTTATAGACGCAATAAAAATTGTCCACATAAAATTGTATGGGATTACGCCATTGTCCTTTCGGCCTTAGAATCTGCGCTCGCCCAAGATTATGGCCGTTACGATCGTTACAAATGGAGCTAATACACAATATATTTACATGTACACAATCACATGTAAGCCACAAACAACCATCCTGATCAAATGGAAAACAGAAAAGTGACTCAACTAAAACAGCCTTATTATAAAACGTTGACTAAAGTTCAACGAGGTTTAAAACTGATGCTGTCAGTTTTGTTTGTTAAAAATAAGTCAAAGATAGCATTAAGTATAAAACATGACTTTAGTCCGCGTTTATAATAAACCGGAAAGTATTCAGAAATTGTGTATGCCAAATAGTAGCAAAGAATACGATCAACCTATAATTAAAAATCGATTGTTGTTTAAAAGTTTTATAATAATTCTATAAGTTTAAAAGTTATAATGAGTTACATTATTTTTGGCTGCAGTTGGTAATAGCAGCAGTGGATAACGGAACACCAGCACAGTTCGAAACCCTGCGACTACTATCGGTAGTGCTGGCTGACGACGATGACAACGCGCCTCGATTCCAATCACTGCTCCACCAGTTCAGCATTAAGGAAAACTTACCAGCTGGAGTTATTGTCGGTGAGTATATTTCAATCTTAGATCTGGGCTAAAAAGTGGTTCCACGCATACTGCGATCAAGCGGGCAGGTCGAAAAAACTGCAATCAACACGCCGATCATGGGATTGGTTGGGATGTCTGTTTAACATTATCTTATCGAGATTAATGAATAGGTGAATTCGGTGGCAGATATTTGAGTTGTCAAAGTATTTGGTTTTATTTGTGTTCATATTGTATTAGTATTGAAGTTGAGTTGTATGAGTTTGGAACTCTGTTTTAGCGGCCATTTTAAGGAGTAATGCTTCCATATCATTCCCAATTAGCTCCAATCTTGTCTTCATTAAGTAGTGGTATTCTTTTAAGGTGTTATCAACAGATTTAAGTTAATTGCTTAGAGATTTCGCTAATGGTGTCCAAATAAATGTTATTTAAATTGAATGCAAAATGGTGTAAGTAATAACTTGGAATCATACAAACGAAATGTCCTAATAGAAGTTTGTGTAAAGTGGTTTAATTTATTTGTAGGATAATTCACAGAAAAGATCGCATATCGGCCATTAAACTCAGCTGTTAATAAATCACATAAAATTGCGAATGCAAAACAATAAAGTGCTCTAATAATTCCCATTCTCTTGTATCCTTTTTCCAATATTGCCCAATAATTTAAAAGATGCAATGTAATACTTTGTTTAAAGGTACGGTAAAAGCTACAGATAAAGATTCCGGAGAACACGGGAAGGTCTACTATCACATTCTAGAAGGAAATCAAGATGGCGCCTTCACACTAGACAGGACACAAGGCATCATTAGAGCTAATATCAGTTTTGACAGGTACATTGGCAGAGAAAGAGTTTGCTGCTTTTAACTTTATGATGTTATGAAATTTCAAGGGTTATAAATTTTAATTATTGGCAAATTTTCAGGGAAAAACGTTCGGAATACTCTTTAACGATATACGCTAGTAACAACCCGATACTAGAACACGCTGCCGCCATCCTCAATTCCATTGACAACAACACTGAGAGTCAAGACCATAGCATCACCGTCGTCAAGATAAAAGTTCTCGACGAAAACGATAATGAGCCGAAGTTCCAAGAAAAAGTGTACCACGCTGGTGAGTAGATTGATAAAGTCAAAGTCAAATATTATTTATTCAAATTGGACGTACAATACAACTCTTTTGAACCGTCCATATTTTTGCCCCTACCACCAGTTACGGAAGTTGTTAGCTGTGGAAAAAAACTGGCGAAAAACTTCACAGCGTTAAGTAATTATTTACCAATATTTACAAAATATTATATTGTTGTCAATACAAAATCATGTCATCTTTATCATATCCTGCCGCTTGGAATAGTTATATGAAACCCCAAGCACTTTTGCCTGAAATATAATTAGACACATTATAATAGGCTTTATTAATACGAACTTTTTTAAATGGCAGTTTTAAATTTATTGACGGTAAATTTTTGTGTATTGCTAGGGTCAGGGCCGGATTTAGAGGTCCAGAGGCCTCGGGGCAACAGAGTAGCGGAGGCCCCCTCACCCCAAATTATTTTCCAAATAAAATAAACTAATATATAATAAATAAAATAAATAAAGTAAACATTTTTTTTTCAGTCGAGTTTTTCAATTAATAATTTATTGAGTACCAAGTAGATTCCCTTAGTATTGAACAAACACATATAAATATAAACGGAAACAAGAATTATCTGAAATTAAATCTTACAGTTAACGAACGGAACCTTTCGAGCTTTTTTCGCCGAAAAATCATTGATGATTTCGTTGAAATCTAGTGATTTTTTTTTCCGAAGTCTCTATTGTGGGGGCCCACCGTTTGTGGAGGCCCCGGGGCTTTCGCCCCGGTTGCCCTCCCCTAAATCCGGCAGTGGCTAGGGTCTTTATTGTAGAAGCGTACAAAAACACCTGTAAATGAATAATTGATTTTGTGGAGCCTTATAATTGGCACAGCTAATTTATTTTTATTTCTAGTATTAAACGAGTGAATATTATTTTTTACCATTAATTTGTATTGTACCAATAAGGATGGTGACGGGGTAAAGTAAACGAAATTCACTTTAGTCCGTCAGTCACAATATCAAAACATAATGGACACTTACTTTTTCTTTTCAATTTTTCTTGTCAATCAACCAAAAAAAAACTAAGATAAAGCACATACAAGCTTGAGAGTGGGGGCTCGTGACGTCACTTCTAAGACGTGACGTCATGCGTCTTTTCCAATCCTCTGTAATTAAGTGAACAAAGAAAAATATATGCGTCTAATTATTTTTAATAATCTACCTGATAGACGAAGAAAAAAAAGTTTGTCATCATCCCTATATGCTCATTAAAAGGCATTGTTTGTACCTTTTAGTGGTAAAGCATACCGCCAGAGTGAACGAACCGATCCTGTCAGTGGTAGCGGAAGATCCAGACCTCGAAGAGAACGGAACTTTAATCTACATAGTGGCCGCTTCGAACCTTTACAAGTTTGGAGCTTCGGAGTCAAGCGGCAGTGTGGTACCATCACCGTTTAACATCAGTCAAGATGGTGAGTCAATTTAATAAAGATCTTATGATACAAATGCCGTGGTTTTTCAAATCATTTTTAAGAACTACTGTACACTGTTGTTTGTATATTTTGGCATATTAGAGAAATCAGAAGCCTGCTCAAATTGGTTGTCACGGAAATAAGGAGTTTCCGTATCTGAATCTGATCGTACTATAGTTCGATTCACCGCCTGCTCGGTACTGCACAGCTACTGGATCCTTGCTTGCCAGCACTGAAATTCCTGATAGTCACTGATAATCCTCACGCGCGAATGATCCTGTTTTAGACCGACCCTCACGAAAGGTCAAAAGCTCGAAGGACCATAAATGTACGGATCCCGTACATTAAATGATAGATAAAAATGTTATTTAACGTTTATTGATAAGGAAAGTTACACGTCAACTTATGTTAAAATAAAATGATAAATGAGTACACGTCAATTGCTGAATGTGAATTGATTTTACAATTATAACAAAATTGTCGCCGAGGGCGTAAACCGCTGACCGCGCAGCGTATAATATTATTGTAACCATTTGTAATAATATCGTGGGAGTTAGCAAATACCCTGTTGCCGGTCTAATGATTATGTGAGCAAAAAATAACGAGATTGTTACCATCAACCTTTTTTTTATGAATGTCCGATATTTAGGCGCTGTTACAAGCGCTATGATCACGAAGTATGGGCGCTGCAAAAGTGCCGAAATATCGAAAACTATCCCGTTAATAGCTGTAATGTTAGTGGCAATAAAAGTTTAAAGCAATATAAATTTAGGATTTTCGCTATTTCGAGCTCTTCCGTGCTTCGGAAGACACGTTAAGCCGACATATCCGCACTGAGCCCTCATGGTTGGATCGTAGCCCTATCTCTCTACTCCATTCATAGAAAATGTCCCAGCAGTGGAGACATTAATAGGCTGATGACGATATTTTTGAAGTTATACTTCTTTAGGCGCGTTATGAAAAAAGGATGAGAGTGAAATTTTAAGATGCGCGCGCATCAATATTAACAGCTTGAAGTTGGTCGCTTTAGCGACCAACTTCATGCTGTTACTTTTGTGTTTACCGCACATTAAGAAAATCTATCAACAAAATAGAAATATAATCTCTATTTAGTGGGTGCTAACGACTGCATTGTGAAGGCCTATCAAAAGTATTTATTAATCTGGAACAACGGAACCAAAGCGCGATTCAGGAGACGACAGCGCCATTTCTTGACCATTGGTGTAGTAGAACCAAAAACCACATCTTTATTTTTTGTAATAAAGTAACAGTTATAGGTATTCATATTTATAATATTTATCCACATGTTTCTAGTTTGTATATTCGGAATACGTGTTTGAGTTTCATACAAGTGCAAATCACATAGGTATGTTCTAATAAATTATATTCAGTATTGATTTTAATTGAATATTTTGATTATTTATTTATTTTTTCAAATTAAAACTGAACTTTATTGACTGTGTCCTTTTCCAGACTTTTTATTAATTTATTGTAATTAATTATTTGCATGCAATTAAAAACTAATTTTAAACGATGCCAAAGAAGGATAACTTCTCACGCGCCTACATAAGTACACGCACCCATTTTTTTTATCAGTAACCTTTTCCTATGAGACGAAGGAAGAGAGAAAAATTGCAAAGGACATAAATTCCTCTCCAAATAGTTATGATATAATAGGCTAGTTGACTCATGTCGAATTATATTAAATAAATATTAATTTATTAAAGTATTTGGTCTAAGGCACGTAAATCTATCGATTTCACTTCATAAAAGCAGAAGACTGCTGTAGAAATTTAATTTTAAAAAATAATTTTTAGTCTATACTTTTTAAACACTAAAAACGCTGTTCGCCACATCCGCCATGATTGTGACTTCTCTTTGGTAGTAAACAACTAAATGTCATTCATACATAACCTTAAAACTTGTATTATTAAAACTGATAATAAATGAAGAGACTTAAAATATTATTCAATGAGTACTTTTATCAAAGTGATCTTCGCAAAAATATTTTTTTCTATGAGTCGATAAAGTTGCAGGATCCCTTTTAGCAAGTTTTAACCAGGTATTGCGTAGGTAATTTCTTTCGGCACTTTAATCCACAACTTTCCTGGAGTCTCCATGGATGTATTTTTACTTTCTCGTACAATACAATAATGATAATTACTATATTTTTCGTGGTATTTATTAGAAATCATGTTTTTTTTATTATTAACTCAGATAGGTTATTTTCTACGTGCTTACGAGTTTTTGTTTACTAGCTGTTGACGTAATAGCATAGATAATCTAAAGACTACAATGGCCGACAGAGTTTTTGTATGTCCATTAAAAGTCTATTTTAAAATTAAAGATTTGTAGCTTTCTAGGTCTCAAAAAAAAACAATAGGTACATTTTTTTCGGTCTAATAGAATATTTATTAACCATTTAAAACCTTTTTCCAAAAAGGGTCAACTAGCCTATTATGTATTGTAAGACTTGTGCAGATCTAAGCCTTATTTTTGACCTGGCTTTTCCTCCAAATACGCGTTAGAACACTGTGTACCAGAAAACTCTTATAGATCTATGCCTTTAATTTAAAGCTTTTCAAAGTCTTACCCTCGAACTAATGTAGATCTAAGCTTTCATAGATTTTCAAGGTGTAATGCTCGTATGTAACAGGTGTGGTGATGACGGCTTCCTACATGTCGGAGTACAACCAGGATCGATTTGTGCTTGATATCATAGCGCAGGAATTGGCGCCACCGCACCGACAAGCGAAGGCGCAGATTTATGTAAGTGGTAGTTAAAATTGTTCTCTATTATTTTTAAATTCTTGAATATTGAATTAATAATATCCATTATTCTTTTAATTCCTTGCTTTTTGAATTCTCATTATTCCACTCATAGATATAGGATTTCGCTACTATGTAGGTCCATTATATCACTTATTTTTAGTGGTTCTTGGATAGTCATTACACGTAACATTATGCTACAGTGGAAATTATAATTTTGGATGCACGTTTATCTAGATATAATATTTTTGCCATACATTTTCAAGATTTTTATTGCTATATTTCATGGACATAGAAAATGGATTGAGCATTTTCCATATGTTGTAACTGTAAAGTAAAACCGGGTCGATAAGTGTGAAAGAGGGCAACCGTCCGTCCGTATATATATTGGTTATATCATCGCTTTTTCTGTTCTATAGACTGGAAAGTCTTTTAGTTCTAGTCGCTAAGATCATTCTCTAAGGCTATGATAGCCAAAGAAGTATTTAAAAATTTGGGAACCGCTAACACTGTTTCCTGACGTAGGTTTGGGTTATCGAGCACGGTGCGCTGATACGTATGGTGGTGTCGCGTGGGTGCAGCGCGCCTCTGGGCGGCGTGCAGGCGCGGCTGGCGGGCGCGGGCGCGGCGCTGCTGGTGCGCGCGCGCCGTCTGCCGCTCGTGCAGGCCGAGCGCAGGCACGAGCACTGGTAACTGGCGCGGGGGAGGGGTGTATGTAGTGTCGCGTGGGTGCAGCGCGCCTCTGGGCGGCGTGCAGGCGCGGCTGGCGGGCGCGGGCGCGGCGCTGCTGGTGCGCGCGCGCCGTCTGCCGCTCGTGCAGGCCGAGCGCAGGCACGAGCACTGGTAACTGGCGCGGGGGAGGGGTGTATGTAGTGTCGCGTGGGTGCAGCGCGCCTCTGGGCGGCGTGCAGGCGCGGCTGGCGGGCGCGGGCGCGGCGCTGCTGGTGCGCGCGCGCCGTCTGCCGCTCGTGCAGGCCGAGCGCAGGCACGAGCACTGGTAACTGGCGCGGGGGAGGGGTGTATGTAGTGTCGCGTGGGTGCAGCGCGCCTCTGGGCGGCGTGCAGGCGCGGCTGGCGGGCGCGGGCGCGGCGCTGCTGGTGCGCGCGCGCCGTCTGCCGCTCGTGCAGGCCGAGCGCAGGCACGAGCACTGGTAACTGGAGCGTGGGAGGGGTGTATGTAGTGTCGCGTGGGTGCAGCGCGCCTCTGGGCGGCGTGCAGGCGCGGCTGGCGGGCGCGGGCGCGGCGCTGCTGGTGCGCGCGCGCCGTCTGCCGCTCGTGCAGGCCGAGCGCAGGCACGAGCACTGGTAACTGGCGCGGGGGAGGGGTGTATGTAGTGTCGCGCGGGCGCGGCGCTGCTGGTGCGAGTGGAACCCGTCGTTTTGTTTTAACACTACTTAAGTTAAATCTGAACAGCATCTGCCATAAAATATTCAACCCATTCATTCCTTCACTAAATTTATCTTTCTCCATACCGAAATTCATCGCAGTCTTTTCACCGTTCAGGTGTGTAAATTTAATAAAATACATTGAGTTAACCATCATATTTTTAATATTCAGTGATATACCGACTGCTGTGTTAACTCATTTTAATTTCTCTTTTCCTAGGTGCGAAGTACACCTCCTACCAGTAGATCCGAAGACCTATCAGGTGCTGCCAGTGGAACGAGTGCTGGAGACCATCGACTCCAAGTTCGATGAATTGAAGGATGTTTACCAAGAGTATGGAGTGGAGACTTTGATCGCTGCCAGCGCCACATCGAAAGGTAAACAAAATCGACAGAAGGTAAATAAATAATAGTAGAACTCCTTGAAAAGCAGAAAAAGTGATGAAAGGACAACAGAAAAAAGCTGTAGAAATTGTTATTTGAATTAAAAAAAACAGAGACCTTGAAGTTGTAATCACAGACCTATTTTTAAGTAGACGACGCTCATATTTTGAGTACTCACAAGAAGAAAGTGGTTGTAATAAAGAACAAATCGGCTGTCACAAATCAAAACACAGTAAAGGACTTCCAACTAATTTTACAGGAGAGCAAAAAAACTGAATTTAAGGTTTTTAAAGATTTTTTGAAACTATGATTCTAAATATATTGTTTTAAACTTTCATGGTCACTAACATTATAGCTATTAACTGGATTGTTACCATGTACCTTGTTTTTTATGAGTCTCCTCCTTCACAGGAGAGATAGGGTACATGGTGACAATCCCGTTAATAGCTATAATATGATTCTAAAGCTTAATATGTCTCTTGGAGATGGTAAGTAAGATTACATTTTGGTATATGGAAAGTTTAAAAATACAGTTCGCCAGAAATCGGTTTTACGTGCGCCTATAGATGTATGACATCAAAAGCCTAGCAAGGGACATTAGGGTATTTGACAGTATTAACAATAAAGTGTCAATTATGATTTTATTTATTTTTTAAGCATTTAACTGCTAGATGTTTAAATCTAAAGAAAAGTTTACTAGAAAAAAATCCACGCGGACTAGGCAGCGGACGGGGCTCGAACCCGCATCCTTCGCTATCCGGGCGAATGCACTGACCATTATGCTACCACGGCCCTATTAGCCGCGTCGAAATTTTCCCAGCCTTAAGCTGCAAGGCAGTGCCATCTCTTCGCATTGTAGGTAACCCACAATGTCAAATGAATACTTTTTCAAGTATTAAACATTTGTAAGAAGAAATAGCAATTATAGTTATGATTTTATTTATTTTTTAAGCATTTAACTGCTAGATGTTTAAATCTAAAGAAAAGTTTACTAGAAAAAAATCCACGCGGACCAGGCAGCGGACGGGACTCGAACCCGCATCCTTTGCTATCCGGGCGAATGCACTGACCATTATGCTACCACGGCCCTATTAGCCGCGTCGAAATTATTTTTTTCTAGTAAACTTTTCTTTAGAATTAAAGTGTCAATTGTTAGCATCTGTGTTTAGAATGAATATTGGCAGGGGTTTTCACTATTTTTACAAATAAAAATCATAATTTTGCTAAAAACCCACGAAAAAGATAATAGTTTTTCTATCTATTGTCACGTGACCCAAAACGCTTGGGATTGGCGGAGCCTAAAATGACGTCACACGCAAGTAAACTTCCGGTTAAAGTGACATTACATTGTATCGTTTGACGTTTGATAACAGTCGTGTGCCGTCACATACTAGTAAGATGCCATATTGTCCAGAAAAACGTTTTCGCGGCAACTTGAAAATGGAATTTTTGATTTGGTTATTTTTACTGAAATACACAACAGAATGATGAATATCCACTTTTTACGGACTCCATAAACATTAGTCAATAACGTGAGATCGTTTTCTAAAACTTGTTAAATACCCTTTTCCTAATCCAAACACACAGTAAGTACGTGTGCCTTGCTGTGTTTTGCGTTGCTAATATCAGCTCTTACTGGGTTTTCATTTGGGGATTTCGGTTTAGTTTGTGCGTTTACTAGATTTTATGGTACCGCTAAATTGGGAATGGTGGCCTTTACTAAAAAACGAGTCTTTGCATATTGACTAAGACGAAAATGACGTCACACGCTAGTAAACTTCAGGCCAAAGTGACATTATAAGATTGTATCGTTTGACGTTTAAATTACAGTCGTGTGACGTCATACACTAGTGAGACGCCATAATGTCCAAAGAAACGTTTTCGCGGCAACTTGGAAATTGAATTTTTAATTTAGTTTTTATTTACTGTATTACACAACGGAATTAAAAATATCCGCTTTTAATGGACTCCATAAAAATTTGTGATTAACGTGAGATTGTTTTCTAAAACCTGTCAAATATCCTATCGTGATCTAAAGCTTCACAATAGGGATGATGTCTATTTTTTTTCTTCTTTTATCAGGTAGATTATCAAAAAGTATTGGACACGTATTTTTTCTTTTTTCACATAATATAAACATTGCAGAGATGTATTGATTTGAAAAGTCGCATGACGTCACGTTTGAGTACAATTTTGAGTTTGAGAAAATTCACTCAAAAGTGACGTCACGAGCCCTTACTCCCAAACTTTGACGCGCTATAACTTTGTCATTTTTTGGTTGATTGCCCAAAGAAAAAATACGTGTCCATTATTTTTTGATCATCTAACTGACGGACTAAATGGAATTTCGTTTACTGTACCCCGTCATCACCCCTATTGTCTATTGTAGCACCGGATAGTTTCGACCCGGCGCTCGCGGCGTTGATCGCGTTGCTGATTGTCTTGTTCACTGGTATCGTCACCTTCATCGTTGTATGCGCCTGCCTCAAGCATTGGTAAGTTCAACTTTCTTATCGTAATTACAATGATTATTCGTTTTATTTATTACTACGTAGCTGTACCCTGCCTACCCTAATATAAGGAAAACGGTAACACTACGTCAACCTTATAAGATAAACACTGTCACAGACTTTTTAAACATTAATATTTGCAAAACGTTATTTAGAAACTTTTTTATCGACGCACTTACACACGCGCACACACATACACACACACACACATACTTTGCGTAGCGCCACAGTAGCACGCCGCACAGTGGGCTGAAAATCGGCTTTCATAGACTTAGGGATTTCAATTTGCAAGTGCTGTATTTTTTGCTGGTTATCGCTTCTATTAGTGATCACTATACACAAAAAAGATATCAGAGTTAATTCTGCACAAAAATGAGGATATTATATTTTTTTTACGAATAATTTGTATGAAGGTAGTATGAAAAATAGAATTATCTCTTAAACGGCAAGGAAAACCGTAATATCCTTACAGGTGATTATAGTACTATTTATTTATGGTTTTTTGACATAATTCACATAACGGTTTTCAATGCCGTTTTTTTTAAAAAAAATCATCAAAATATTTTTATATAATATCAAACCTTCCGATCCTTTTAGTCTTAATGTTAAGAACATCCGTATGAGGAATGTTATCGATCCAAAAATTAAGAATGTATAAAACAAGAAATTACATAAAAAAACTCTTTTTATTGATTATAACTAAAAAAGAGGTAACAAAAACCGTATTGAAGTACTTTAAATACAATAATACAAATTTTAAGTTCAATTAATTTAAGAAAGAAATAAACTTATTGGTACAATAAACAATCAACTAATAAATAAAGAAATAATACAATAAACAAACCATACAATGAACAATAAATAACAACAAAACATGAAAAATTATAATAAGAATTATAAATCTTCCCTGTCACTCTCGTTATCGGTCTCCAATTCTGAGTCAGAATTTAGATTGGATATATCTAGAAACTCGAACTCAGTTTCCTGAATCTGAATTAAGTCGAGAGTTTCAGCAAAAAACATCTGCTTTTTCTTGGCATCTAATTTAGGCCTTTGTGCACTTAGGAAAGGATCCGAAGAAACAAGAAGCATGTTTAAGATATCTTGATTAGAATCTTGCCTGCTTCTTTTCTGCGAATGATGGTCCCGGAACCTCCTAAAATCTTTATTTCTAGACTCTGAGGCTTCTTCTGAGAGAGTCCCAATTGGCACGATATCATTTTTTTCGATTATATCAGCACCGTGTATTAATAATTTATGTACGGTTGACGACATATAGTACCAGTTATATAATTCCACGTACCAATCTGCTGTTTTACGGGCAAAATCTCTAAATTTCATTACGTCGATCTTCTCGCCAGATGTTATTGCTTGCAAAATCACTGCAAATCTTTTAATTAGCTCTTCATCCAGCCCGGTAATAGCTGCAGTTTTATTGGGAGACTCAAAAAACTTTCTTGCAGTATTCCCGTCATTCGTAGTTCTTGGCTCGGCCTTGTTTAACTATATCAATCAACAAATTGAGCTCATTTTTGAATTTATTTTGAATAATTTTTTTCTAGTCTGCAACATTTCTTTGTGCTCGTTACTTCTCGCTGCCCACTGTTTGAAGTCGAGCCTGTACGCAATGTGTAACAGACATTCCATGCAATTTATGCGAGCGTGTAGGGATGACAAGCCAAATTCGTATAAGTCAGAACATACATTCTTTGATGTTACAGCATCTAAGCGATTCATTTCTGTAGGTTTTGCTAGGCACAGGTAGCACGATGCATTTGATCTGGCTTCGGAAAGGTACGTGCAGACTTTAGCATCGATCATAGTCATCATTAGTTGATGGGTCACCTTGTTGCTATTACTGCACTCTGTGGGGATAAGGGCCTTAATTTCATCATCCATTTGTCTTTTGTGATCAATGACAACTGCTTCGCTCTCCTTTACAAAAGTGAACTGAACTGGACGACAATACAAAGCTGAGCATGGTTTTGGGTTCATCCATACAGTTTTATCTCCATCTGTCAGTTTTAGTGGCACCAAGGAGGTCATGAAAATACTTGAATCATCTTGCTCACTCTCCATTTTCTGCTTGTATCTTCTTTGGTTGGAGGCACCATCAAATCCCCACTTCGATAGCAGGTTTAGCTGCTTATTTTGCACATCTTCAGAAAGACTTTGAATGATCCTCATCACAGTAATGTCGAGTAAAGCTTGAAGTGTAATCCTGGCTGATGAATCCGTAACTGACACTGATTGCTTCAGAGGGTAGCAATCAAGCTTAGTTTGTTGTAGTTTATAGTAGGATGGATAAATATCCTTAGCACCTTCTCGAATGGCTGCTTCTCGCAACGTAATATATTGCCACTTTGACAGTTTTAGTGAAACAAACAATCCAAGCGCTTTCTCTGGTGTAAATATAACTTTTTTCACTGGTTTTATAAGCGATTCATTAATTTTAACGGCTGCTTCAGGATTTTTCATCATATATTCGATCACAGATGCAATATGAGGATGCCCTTCTTCTCTTAAACGTGCTGCAGCTGCATATACCGATTCATCGTCAGATCTTCTCTTTTTCTGTTTGCTTCCCAGCTCTTCGAATGGTTTTCGTGACCTTTTTGTCATTGTTCCAACAGACGATGACGTCGACGGTTCTTGAGAGACAGAGTGTGCTCTTGGTATCTCATCAATAGTTGGTTCTTGATTAAATAGAGTTTGCACACAACTTGGCCAATCAATATTTGCTTGTAACCAATTTCCGTACAGTCTTCTGAAATTATCAAGGAATCGGTTTGATTTTTGCCATCTTTGTAAAGCTGCTCGCGTGAATCTCCGACAAAATTCTTTGAGAGTTACACGATCTTCGGCAGAAAGGCAATCGCCTATGCGTGATACGATTGCACCAAACAATGCTTCATGATTAAATGAAGTACTCTCACTTTTTAGAAGAACAAACAAGTCCAAATTGGTTATTAAACTTTCCATTCTAAGATTTTGTAGTCGCAGAGTTATTCGCAAGATTAAGTATTAGCAGTTACACAGTTGTGAACAATCTAAATTATAAAGCAAAATATTATCCCTTTTATAGCAAAACGTCGATAATTAGTTAACTACCCTCATTAAAGCTAAAAAAGATTTCCTAATGATAATATACAATCGTCACAATGTTCCATAGAACTCATAATAGCAAAACTAATTAACAAATTAGCTTAATTATCGGAAGAAGGTGAATGTAGTCTATAATTAACATTGTTTCGTAATATTGCAAATCATTGTATCACCTATTCAGACTTATTTAAAGACTAAATGATTATAATTATTCAATAACTTATTTTCAGACTCATTGGTGTCGATTCTGGCATGATTCTCAAAAGCTAAACTTAAATTTGACAACAGTGTATCCTTGTCATTCTCTATATAGAATAAAAAGGACAGACTGATATTAAATTTAGTTTTAAGTTTAGAGAATGCTGCCAGAATCGACACCATTGTAAGACTAAACCATTTGTTATTTGGTCTTATAGTCGTATTTCAAACTCATTTTATGTTGATAAATATCTAGTTCAAATATACATAGTGTGAGTGTACTATAAACCTCTACTCCTTCGAGAATATAGGTGATGCATATTTATGTCATGCTGTTAAAAGTCTCTCTCTCTCCCAATATAGACACCAAGCGGAATGTTTTTTTTTTAAAAAAAGCGGCATTGATAACCGTTACGTGAAGAATGCTAAAAAATCATAAATAAGCAGCACTAAACACTAAGTAGACAGGGAAGATTTATAATACTTATGATATTATTTCATGTTTTGTTGTTATTTATTGTTCATTGTATGGTTTGTTTATTGTATTATTTCTTTATTTATTAGTTGATTGTTTATTGTACCAATAAGTTTATTTCTTTCTTAAATTAATTGAACTTAAAATTTGTATTATTGTATTTAAAGTACTTCAATACGGTTTTTGTTACCTCTTTTTTAGTTATAATCAATAAAAAGAGTTTTTTTATGTAATTTCTTGTTTTATACATTCTTAATTTTTGGATCGATAACATTCCTCATACGGATGTTCTTAACATTAAGACTAAAAGGATCGGAAGGTTTGATATTATATAAAAATATTTTGATGATTTTTTTAAAAAAAAACGGCATTGAAAACCGTTATGTGAATTATGTCAAAAAACCATAAATAAATAGTACTATAATCACCTGTAAGGATATTACGGTTTTCCTTGCCGTTTAAGAGATAATTCTATTTTTCATACTACCTTCATACAAATTATTCGTAAAAAAAATATAATATCCTCATTTTTGTGCAGAATTAACTCTGATATCTTTTTTGTGTATAGTGATCACTAATAGAAGCGATAACCAGCAAAAAATACAGCACTTGCAAATTGAAATCCCTAAGTCTATGAAAGCCGATTTTCAGCCCACTGTGCGCCGCGCTATACATTGCGTAATGGAAAAAAAATGTATTTTTTTTAGCTTAAAAATACATTTTTTCCCCACGTGTAATATTTTGTAATATTACTTGTTTGGGTGTACAGAATGCGTAGTTTTAGTCTTTGTTATAGGTTTTTTTACACCCTGTATTTGCGTAACTTTAACCAAAATATAATTCGTTTCCTAAGAAAGTTCATTAAGTTATCGATAATCAAAACAATCAGACAAGCACTTGCACCTTGCAAGAAATCATAGGAAGAAATTTCTAGTCTAAACTTCGCTTTTCATCAATTCATACCCGTGAATAGTCAAATTTTAGAAACTTAAAAAGCAAGTTCACCCTTACCTCCTCAACGTAATCTATATATATATAAAACTCAAAGGTGTCTGACTGACATAGTGATCTATCAACGCATCGGATCGAGCTGAAATTTGGCATGCAGGTAGATGTTATGACGTCGGCATCCGCTAAGAAAGGATTTTATCAATTCCACCCCCAAGGGGATAAAATAGGGAATGAAAGAAGCATTATAAGCATTATAAGAAGAATCATAGATGAATGTCATTGTATTATAATACAAGCCTGAGAACAAAAACTGTAGTCTACACTTCAACTCTCAAAGCGAAGCGAGGGCGGGCCGCTAGTGTAACATAATCCTTCTAAGATAAAAATAAGAGGCGTGAATTAATTATCAGCCTTCGCTTCCACTGTTTATCAGCTCAGAAGGAATATGTGCATTACATTGTTTTAAACTTTCATGGTCACTAACATTATAGATATTAACGGGATTGTTACCATGTACCTTGTTTTTTATGAGTCTCCGATATTTCGGCACTGTTGCAAGCGCCATGATCACGGAGTAACTCCGTAAATAAAATCTCATAAAAAACAAGGTACATGGTAACAATCCCGTTAATATCTATAATATGTGCATTACGTTGCGAAAGTAACTGTGAATTTGCATGTAACCGTTTTTGAAATTCGTTTCGATGCGAAAATACTAATATGTAGGGTCATAAAAGCGCTGACATCTGAATTTTTAATCATGTAGAAAAAGGACTCCAAACAATCCCTCCCTCCTGAATAATAATCCAATTTTCATCACCAATTCTCAGGGTGATACCTCCACCATCGATGCAGTCCAGCAAGGGAGACAGTTTGGCTCGTCGTCGTATCCTGGAAGAGTTAAGTACAACAGAGAACCCTCTGTGGCTGGAGACGAAGCTCAGGCCGTATGAGGAGCAAGAGTTGACTATGAACGTGTTTGGAGATCAGCTCGAACCAGCTGCGGAACAACCTCAGGTAAGAACTGATAGCTGGACTAAGAGAAGTCAGGACTTTAAAAGTCAAAAAGATTGTACTCCTTTCTTAGAGGCATCGTATCGCGTTTGTGTATTACTGGTATTACATATACTAGGACTATGAGCGGAGGCGATCACTCATTATATGTTTATCATATCTCTTATCTATTAGACAAGTCCGTCCGTCCGTCCGTGGTGTTGTTTCAGCGGCCAAACCGTAAGAGATAGATATAGAGAATGTTTAAGTTATAAGTTAAGAATAGTCTGAAAAGACTACAAACCAAATGTGAGTAACGTAGCACTTCCGGTTTTCGAGAAATCACGTGATTTCTATTTCAAACGAAACCACAAAATCTCCGAAGTTCTCAATTAAATAAATACATTTTTTTTTGGTGAACATTTGGTTCACTGGTTTGCTAGTTTTATTTTAAGCATTTAACAGCTATTTAAGTACGGCTGTAAGATAACGAAATTTTATAAATATGAAGTAATGATCAAATTTTTTTGCTTGCATTGTATTGCATTATGATCATTATTGCACTCACCTATCAGCAAATATGCAATATGGATGTTAAAATTATATGCACCTGCACATACTTATCTACTCATTTTTATTGGGATATTTATATTGAAATACTTATATCCGAACACAGTAGAGTATTTGATAATTACTTAAGGTTAGGTATATTTTTTTTAGTTGACAAAATGGAAATATTATTTTGACAGTGAAAATTTTAAAACAGAATATTGGGTGCGTTTAGCCGACAAAAAGACTGAAACTACACTTTAGTTGATTCAACTGAAGTTAGCGATGAGTGCTAGAATTTTTATAAGAATAACTAGCCGTGCCCCGTGGTGTTACCCGCGGTTTATTAGGAATATTTTCCCGCAGTAAAACGTAGCCTATGTGTTAATATAGGGTGTCAGCTAACTCCATACCAAATTTTATTAAAATCGCTCCAGCCGTTTAGACGTGAAGAAGTAACAAACATACACACTCACAAACTTTCGCCTTTATAATATTAGTGTGATTAACAATTTAAACAATTAAAATTATTATTGTTTTGTTATTTTATATTTATACTAGCTGAATCGGCGAGCTTCGTACCGCCCAAAAGTAATAATTTGCAATTAATTAAAATTGCGACTATAATTTGAGATTTAAACTATCCTATCCCTCAAGTTGGATCGAACTGCACATGGTGTGCGAATTTTATTATAATCGGTTCAGTGGTTTAGGAGTCCACTGAGGACAAACATTGTGACACGAGATTTATATATATTAAGATTTTCTTTGCTACTTAGCAATCGCCATTTTTCTTCTTATGCTGCGTAGCCTTTTTGTCTGCTAAACGCACCCATTGACTCTTTATACTGAGTAGAACTATTACATTCTTAACGCTTATTGATTGTCAGCAGACTGACAACACATACGCGACGATCCAAGGCAGTCGAACGACGGAACGGTTCGGCGACTACGCGACGTTGGGCGGAGATTCGCCTACGCCATTAGAAGCAGCGCTGGGGTTCCAGGTTAGTCCCATAATCTAAAAACCAACCTTTGAAAATAGATGATGATATTATCAAAATATAAGAAATGATAAAAATGATAATAGAGTCTGTGCGGAAATAGAATGGGCGTGGCGAAAAACGGAACTAACATTAAGATTTTTATTTGGCTTGATTACCAAATCCAGCAATCTGTAAAACGTCAAAGTTTTGTATTGATAAGGATTTGTTTATTGTTGTGATTTCTTGCGGTTTTTTGTATTTAATCCTGTCTAAAAGGGCTCCGATCTAAATCCCATTCTCTTTCCGCACAGACTCTATTACAAAATTTAAGAACCATTAGCACCAACATTCTTTATTTAAGACTCAATCCTGTTTAAGACATCAGTCAGTCCTTTAATCTAAAAGCAACCATCAAAAAACAATTTTAGGACCACTTGTTCTTTATATTTAATTGAAGTTGAGGTTTAATCCACATTAAACATCATTTAATTTTTATCAACTTGTTTAAAACCAAATAGAGATAGAATGATATTATAAAAATAATAAGTATGTATTTAAATTTAAGAAATTTTGTACAAGTGGGCCCGAGACACTAAATTTTAGCAGGTTGTTTTCAATATACGCGGAAGAATCCCTAAACGCGGATCCCGCGGTTTCGCACTAAGCAGCTTAGAGGGTATTCGCAGGGTTTTTTAGCGGATATTATGCCGTAAAGCGCCCGTAAGAGTTACGGGGTCCTCAGTGGGCAGCCACTGCTGGGGCTCGTAAGGTTTGCGGGAGCCAGGTGTGAGGTCCGTTCGGCGGTGTCCCTCTTAAAGGCGCCGTCGTCTGTAAACAGAGTTTTTGCCTGCGTCACAAAAAAAAGGTTGTTTTCAATATATTATTCAGATAGTTTACACCAACATTAAAACTTCGTAACTTAATTAATAATTATAGATATTAACGGGATTGTTACCATGTACCTTGTTTTTAATGAGTCTCCGATATTTCGGCACTGTTGCAAGCGCCATGATCACGGAGTAACTGTTAGTTATGATCACGGAGTAACTGTTATGCTGTGTTAGTTACTCCGTGATCTTGGCGCTTGCGACAGTGCTGAAATTGGAGACTCATAAAAAACAAGGTACATGGTAACAATCCCGTTACTATCTATAATGTTAGTGATCATGTAAGTTTAAAACATTAATTAATAATGTATCGCTAACCGGCAACATTAATTTCAGGGCAGCACTTTCAAACCGCCTTCTCCGGATACTCCTGAACCACCTCCAAGGCCCACAGCTGGCTTGGGACAACTATGATTGAGATTTAAAACATCCGCAGTCGTTCCCCTTTTTTCACAGACTATTACGCTTTATTCTGAATTAGATTCTGAACAGTACAGTACCCTTAGTACGAGTTTTACAATTACGAAAACAATGATAGTTTTCGTGAGCTCGCACTCGTACTAAGGGTACTGATTTTATTGTTACTGTTTCAATACAAATAAACTGTGTTTAAATTCTATCATTAAATCATTTGCGTCTTCTTAAAATTTAAGTATATTTGGTTTCTTTTCACCAAAATGGACATAGAAACAATTTACAATGACGAAAACTATGATAGTTTTCGTGAGCTCAAACTCATTTCAATTTTATATTATTTCATCGCTATTCATTGATATTCAAAATAACTTACAATTCGAAGAGTTTTCTTTTCGTATGTCGAAACCAATGTTGATGCTCTGATAAATTGATGTCTAAAATCTAATTCAATTCTATGTTATATACAAGAGTGGCTTGAGGTTATTACGCTGCGAACGAAACGCCAACGGTCTAATCAATGAAAACAATTATACTTATTGTAACGAATACGCTACAAATTAGGTAGGATTTGATAAATATATTTGTGTAGATAATATATCATAATAAATAAAGACTATATCAACTTGAAGAATCTCTAAATTGACAGCTTGTACACAGCTAGAATACATATTTATAGTCAGATAAATGTAATATTTTTGTAATAATTTATAACTAGGTTAGTTAGATATTTCTGCTTCCTACTAATAAAAATAAATCTTGCATGTTGACAATGTGTTATGTTAGTTTTGAATCATTCACGAAAGCATTCCTATCAAGACTGCCTACAATAATATTGTTACCATAATAATTAGATGTTTCTTGTGATACATTGACAACGTCCATATCTTAATCTTTTAGTGTTAAATTAGAATTAATGGAAACTATTTTCTCATTTCTTAATTCTATGATGTGATCTTAGCCAATTTCTTGTAAGTAATAGATATTTATTTTTATTATGAAATAACAAAATTTTATTAAGTATTAATTGAGAGTTTTATATAGAAATATTATTATTATTCTTTGAAAGTCTGTATCAACATTTTTGTACATCAGAAATTTTCAGCTAAAATATATGGCTAAGATTTGTGCTATGTCAATAATAGTGCGATTAGAATATGAAACTACTTATTGCTGCTATTGCCATATTTGTAAATTGTACAATTTTGTGTACAAATTGTATTTTATACTTTAGTGTAAGTTCGAATTGAAATATCACTGAATCTGCTGTGGGATCAATTTTAAGACTTGAGACACTTTACGTAGTAACTATTAAGTAATCTTAGTGCTTGAGATGTTTATTTGGTTGGTTTGTATAGTATAACTACTACGTAAATATATTAAAAAGTCATAGTAATAATAAATGCGTTATTTTGTAAATATATTATTAGAATTTATACCTAAAAGTATTAAAGTAGGTACATACTATTTAATAACATGAAAGAAATACAGATATTTTGATACTTTAACAATGTGTTTATATTATAATATATTGACAAGATGTTGACCTATGTTTTTTTGCAATTGAGTGTAAGGCAGTAGGGCCTTTAGTCGATTTCTGATTTTGAAAAGGCAAACTAAAAAAATCTGAAAGTAGAGTTTAAAATAAATACTTTATTTTCTTAATTATTATCATTCTTAAAGCCATTGTAGCATCTGTTCAAAGATTCCATTACTGTTCTAACATTATTCAAGTATGATGAAAGATTGACTTTGAAACACTCTTCCAAGTGATCCATGGAAATGGTCAGCTTCCTGTAAAATTCTTGCATTGCTTCTATCTTCATTGACATCAACCTTTGTAAGGTGAGGTTGTAGCCATCCTTTTCTATCTGAAATAATATGTTTTGATTCAGTATGTCGATATTGATTTACCTATGAGTTTCAAACATAATCTTGTAACATAATCACGTAAATTTGAAAGTAGACATATTATAATAGTCGTTTACTATGGGTCTCATAGGACGGCTCAAGGTCGCCCAGCGGGCAATGGAGAGAGCTATGCTTGGTGTTTCACTGCGTGATTGAGTCAGAAATGACGAGATCCGTAGGAGAACTAAAGTCACCGACATAGCTCGAAGAATAGCCCAGCTGAAGTGGCAGTGGGCGGGACACATAGCGAGGAGAACCGATGGCCGTTGGGGCGGAAAGGTTCTCGAATGGCGACCGCGTGCCGGACGACGCTCAGTGGGAAGACCCGCTACAAGGTGGACCGACGATCTGGTGAAGGTCGCGGGAAAACGCTGGATGCGGCCAGCGCAGGACCGATCGTTGTGGAGATCCTTGGGGGAGGCCTATGTCCAGCAGTGGGCGTCGTACGGCTGATATGATGATGATGATGATGATATTATAATGAAATATAATTTCGCAAAAATATCACAAATGTTTATAAACTTGCTGTGAACACAAAATTTAGACTGGCCCACACTACCAGGTACACCAAAAATATCCAACTATAACAAATTTAGCGACTTTAAAAAGGAATTTAAAAATAATACTATGATTTAAAACAAGAAGTGATCGTTAGGTTTTTGATGTTGAAAACAATTGCAATTAATTATTTGCAATACCCTTGCAAGGCTCATGTTAACGAGCTGTTATTAGATTTAAGAACTAAATGAAACCAACATGAAGCAATAAATACTATGACTATGGCAGTGTTTCCTAACCTTTCCTATACTGCTACCCTACAGGGGTAGCAGTATTAGGAAAACAGATTTTACCCCGACTTTAAAATGTTATTATCAGTCCAAGAAATTCCAATTTGGCCGCTACATCTTCGTCTATAATAATGTCATCATCAGGAGAAAATCTCGCCCCACTTCCCACACTCAGCACCCCGCGGGCTCGCTAGCAAGAAGGAGAGCATGCTCTATTTAGTATTTTCTTATTATTTAGATTTGACCATATAATTAGGTTCTTTGTTACCCCCCAAGTATGGCTGATTTACCCCCGGATGGGTAATTACCCCCAGGTTCGGAACCCAGGGACTATGACTATATCATATCAAATCAGTGGTACACATACATATTCTACCAAGCAGACTCCAGCATTTGTCACATCATCTGGATGGTTAATATCACACAAGTGTAATAAGTATTTGTAGCTCTTCCGCCATCTTTTGATCTGTAAATAAGTTCAAATCAATTAAATTGATATATATACTTTAGCATTATTTAAATCAAATCTAATTTATTTAAACTTTACATTGGTCGATCTATGTTGGCAACAAATGGCACCTTACAAATATGTTAGCCAAATAAGTTATCATTTATCGTCAATTTTTTTTTTGTAGCCATGTAGGCAAATTAATTTACCCCACCTAATATTGACGATCGTGAATCAGAGAGTTATCTTCTAGGTAGCGGGTCACAAGGTTGCTAAGGACCCTTTCTAAGACTTAACACAACATTGAGGTAACACCTATCGGCCGATAGTTGGCCGGGTCTGAGCGGTCCCCTTTTTCGGGCACCGGTTGCACATTGGCATCCCTCCAAGTCACCGGCACACACCCCAAAGAATACGTCCGCGTAGGTATATTGCAGAACTCGACCTCAAACAGAGCGGAAGCTTATGTATTTTTTTTGTATATGAGCCATTATTTTTTATATATTTTTTTTATGGATAGTTCCGACAAATGACTCCACCCCACCTGATGTTAAGTGGAGGTGAAGTCCAGACGGGAAGATAGCTGATACAGCAGTTCTACCTGCCACACCAGCCAACCTCACCCTGCTGGCCTGCATGTTGCTTCTTCACGCCTCTTTTAAAGGATCCCAGGTTGTAAGAGGGAGGGAACACGTGAGCGGGCAGAGCATTCCATTTACGGATAGTACGACACAGAATTGAGTCACCAAATTTCTTTGTACTCGTTGGAATTGTAGCCACAACGTCTAGAACGTGAATATAAGCTTAGGGAAACATTTAATCAAAAAATTAATACACCCGAGGTTAGGTTCTAGATCCAGTAGCATAATGGTTAATAAATTTGCTATTATAGCGGAGGGTGATAAAAAGATCCTTAGGTTTAATATACAGGGTTAATTTTAAAACACCAACAACCTCTTAGGGAAAGATTCTTCCCATCAACAGGAACAACTTTTATTAAGGGACCAACGCTGATATCGCGAAAAAAAAACTGCTGTTTCATACAATAGAGCATTAAATAATCTACCGTAATGTATGAAACAGCAGATTTTTTCTTCGCGAATTCAGAGTTGGTCCCATACTAAAAGTTGTTCCTGTTGATGGGTAGAATCACCCCCCTAAGATGTTGTTGGTATTTTAAAATTAAACCTGTATAGTGTATATTCTAGAGGAGCTCGATGGCGCAAGTGGTTAGCGCGTTCGGCTGCGATCGTTGAAGTTAAGCAACTTTCGCTGTGGTCGGTCATTGGATGGGTGACCAAAAATTTACTATCTCAAGTTCCTCCGTGCATCGGAAGGCACATTAAGCCGTTAGTCCCGGCTGCATCTGCAGTCGTTAGCACCCACCAATCCGCACGGGGCCCGCGTGGTGGGTCATGGCCCAATCTCCCTATTCCATCCATAGAGAAGGCCTGTGCCCCAGCAGTGGGGACATTAATAGGCTGATGATGATGATGAGTGTATATTCTTATCAAAACATTTCATTTTATTTTTACCTCTCTTTCTATCTGATCTAAGCCTTTCCTGCTATCCTTTTCTCCCATGTTGACCGTCTTGAGGCAATCACTTTCGTTTTCATAATACATTCGTTCCGAACCATCTATTTCGTTTGAGTAAATATCCATGCATTTGATCCACTGCAATAAAATTTTCATAAGCATAAAAATAACTAAGAATATGTACTGGCATTACTTAGGCTAGGCTGGATATTATCCCAAATAGATGATTTAGAGGTATCGTTCAAGTGACCTAAATCTATTACTAATCTACATTAGGTTCTATTCTCATATGCTGCGTTTCCACTTATGTTCAGAACAGTTCGGAACAAGCCAAAATTCTTCGCTTGGTAAATAGAATGCTCAGAGCAAATGCTAGATCGCCATTATGTTGTTTATCATTGACTAGCGGCCCGCCCTCGCTTCGCTTTGGTGTAGAGCTGAAGTGCAGACTACAGTTTTTGTTCTCAGGCTTGTATTATACACAATGACTTTCATCTATGATTCTTCTTATACCTGCATGCAAAGTCTCAGCCCGATCGGTTTAAAATTGACAAAGTTTCATACAAACTTTCATTCCCTATTTTATCCCCTTGGGGTAGAATTAATCAAAATCCTTTCTTAGCGGATGCCTACGTCATAACATTTACCTGCATGCCAAATTCCAGTCCGATCCGTCCAGTGGTTTGGGCTGTGCGTTGATAGATCACTATGTCAGTCAGTCACCTTTGAGTTTTATATATATAGATGATTGAGCACGAGAATGGTTCACTGAGTTCAGTTGAGCATCGTTGAAAAAAGTCGTTCGCTCGCTCTGGTGTTTGAATTTACTGAGTGACTTTGTGCTTGTTCGCTCAGCATTGCAAGTGGTAACGCTGCACATTGTCCTGGTTCTTAGTCTAAAACTATCAAATAATGTTTAGCGATTTCTTATTTTTTTAAATGCTTTACCTTTTTATCGAAGTTGCCTTTTCGAAAATTATGATCTTTATGTTTCATCATTTGCAGTCTGAATTTAGTCGTGATGTTGACTCTCTTCAATTGGAATTCATCATTCCACGAGTTGAGCAGGTTTCTATCGCTTTTACTCAAGATTATCGATGAGTTTACATTTGTGGCATATGTTTGTAGCAAGCTCGCTACAGTTTCTGGCGATAACTAAAAAAGGACACAGTGAAATAATATCATTGCTAATTATGATTTGTTTTTTTTTAAGCATTTAACTGCTAGATGTTTAAATCTAAAGAAAAGCTTACTAGAAAAAAATCCACGCGGACCAGGCAGCGGACGGGACTCGAACCCGCATCCTTCGCTATCCGGGCGAATGCACTTACCATTATGCTACCACGGCCCTATTAGCCGCGTCGAAATTTTCCTAGCCTTAAGCTGCAAGGCAGCGCCATCTCTTCGCACTGTAGGTAACCCACAATGTCAAATGAATACTTTTTCAAGTATTAAACATTTGAAAGAAGAAATAGCAATTATAGTTATGATTTGATTTTCAATCTATTTCTTCTTTGAAATGTTTAATACTTGAAAAAGTATTCATTTGACATTGTGGGTTACCTGCATACCGGATAGCGGAGGATGCGGGTTCGAGTCCCGTCCGCTGCCTGGTACGCGTGGATCATTGCTAATATTGGCGAGTATTCTTCTGTCACTACTAGATCACTAGGCCTTAACTCACTGCCGGGAATCAGTAAATTATTCAATATAAAGAAATTATTATCATTTAAATTAAATTGATTTTATGGGAAATAATTGAAATTCTCTTCAAAAACCTTTAAAACTGTTTTTCTTACCTCACAACCAATTTTTCTGATA